CAACAAACAGCTTCCACGAGACCCTCCCTCTCATCCACTGCCACTAAAACTCTCAGTCTCATCTCTCATCCCGACTGGATTACTGCAACAGCATTCTCTATGTTTCACATCCTCAATAAACTACAATAAGCTCCGGACCTGGGGGTGAGGTCTTCGCTGCAGCCCCCCCACCCTCCCTCTGGAAGTCCCTCCCCATTCAAAACTGACTTATTCACTCCAGCTTTCAATCTCTAATCCACAACCCCCCCATATTTTACTCCGCACTTGGATTACGATAAAATAAGATGTATTTTATTGATGCCAAATTGGGAAATGGTTGCGTTGCAGCAGCATAGAAAAACAAAACAAGGCATTGCATATAAGTAGAAATTAAAGAGTAGAAATAAACAATTCAAACATTCTCAAAATATAAATAAAACAGCATTAAAAAGTAGAAAATATACAGTAGACCGTGAAGATAAAATCTATAAACTTCTATACATTTCAGATTTTATGTAAAGTGTCTTTGAGCATTAGGAAAAGCGCTATACAAATCTTATGTATTATTATTATTATTAATATATCATGTAACTCCAAATTAATTTAGAATTATAATAATATGCTGAAATGAAAAACACCTCTTCTAAACAGGACGATTATGCAGTTTAAAATTATTTTTTCAATATCTTCCATAGTAATACACTGGGACTCTGTTTACAGGATTGTACTGTAGTGCTTTTTTGATGTGGATTCTGTTATGGAAGGTAAACAGGAAGCAGATTAAGCGGCCTCCTGACTAGACAGATACATTTGAGAAGCTAAATGCCAGCGCAGCATCATGCCGGCTGCACACATGGCTTTACGTGGAGAAGCTTTTGGTTTCTCTGTGCTTTTTTACGAGGCGAGCACTGAGTAGTTTTGCCCGGCTCCCGCTGAGCGCGTAATGAATGGCAGGCTGCGGCTGTGGGCCTGCCAGGCGAGAAGAAACAGCACTGTGGAATTGTGGGATAGCAAAGGAGAGTCTTGCGTTGTGGGTCCCGGCGGGGGCTTTCGGAGATCAAACACGTCGACAGCGCCGCCACCCGCCGGGCATTCTGGGTAGACAGACCTTAGGAGGAGACGCCTGAAAAGCAGAGAGAGTTGTTTGTAGCTCTGTGTGTGTGTGTGTGTGTGTGTGTGTGTGTGTGTGTGTGTGTGTGTGTGTGTGTGTGTGTGTGTGTGTGTGTGTGTGTGTGTGTGTGTGTGTGTGTGTGTGTGTGTGTGTGTGTGTGTGTGTGTGTGTGTGTGTGTGTGTGTGTGTGTGTGTGTGTGTGTGTGTTGCAGCTTTTGGCTGTGTTTTTGAAGAGTGAATGATGGCAGCACGGAGGATGCTGTCGTGGCTTTTGTTTTTGTTTTTTCGCCGTTAGAAGACAGACTTTGAAATGGATTAACGAGAGCTGACTTGATGTGACTTCAAGGGTTTTGCTTTGACACGACTTTCCCTCTTTTGATGTGGCTCTAACACACACACACACACACACACCTCATCCATGTCCCTGCATCTGTCCTTTCGTTAGTGATACTCCAGCCTGGAGGGTTGGTTCTCGAAGTGACCCTCTTCCCTTTCTCTCGTCTGTTTCTCACATCTCTGTCACTGTCTGTTATTTCTTTCTTTGTTTTCTCCTCTCCATTTTCTGTTGTTCTTTTATTTGAGATTCCTTTTGTCTTGTCTTCTTGTCTAGACATCGTTATTTCTTCCTTTCTTTCCCCACGCAGACATTCATGGCTGATGCAATCACCAAAGTGCAAGTTAAAGCGTTCAACCATTACATTTTAATTTCATTTTTACTTTGTCATTGAGCGCTCTCTTTCAGTCTGTTACTTATTGTAGTTTTTTTTTTTTTTTTCCTTCACTATATGAAGACCTTTGTATGAAAATACATTGAAAGGAGAAGCATTCAACAATCACTCTGTCAATTTGATAGTTTCTTAAATACTTTTTCGTTTGTTTTTCATTTTCTTTGTACGGTTCCTACTCGTCTGTCGTCCACCCTTGCTTCCTTGTTTTCCGATCTTTCTGTAGTCTTTATGTCTTCTGTTCTTTCTTTCCCCTCTGACATTTGTCACTGATGCAAGCTTTTCTCATTTTTCATTTCCCCCTTATGCTCGTGTTTTTGTTCGTCCTTCCTTGTTTTGTTTTTTAAAATCTTACAGTAGTTTTTTCTTTCAGAACGTTCTTGCTTTCTCCGTGCAGATATTTCTGCCTGAAAAACAATACAAATCACATGTCAGCCATGAGAAGTGTCACACTCTTTTGTTTCAGGGTGTACAATGATTAGCCCGTGATGGGGTTGTTTGTCTCTTTGTTCTTTTTTTGGTTATATTTTGTAGGGAGTTCTGTAATGGTCTGCAGTGTCAGGTGGCCATGCTGTCCGTCTTTCCTTTGGTTCCCCCATTCCACCAAAACCACTGCCCCCATTCAGGCAGGTTTGGGAACGCTACTCAGTGGAGCAGATTGGTGTTGTGTTGTGTGTGTGTGTGTGTGTGTGTGTGTGTGTGTGTGTGTGTTGTGTGTGTGTGTGTGTGTGTGTGTGTGTGTGTGTGTGTGTGTGTGTGTGTGTGTGTGTGTGTGTGTGTGTGTGTGTGTGTGTGTGTGTGTGTGTGTGTGTGTGTGTGTGTGTGTGTTGTGTGTGTGTGTGTGTGTGTGTGTGTGTGTGTGTGTGTGTGTGTGTGTGTGTGTGTGTGTGTGTGTGTGTGGGTGGGTGTGGGTGTGTGTGTGTCTGGGACATGTCTGGAGAGGGAAAGAAGAGCGGAGAGTGAGGATGATAAGGAAGAGAGCAAGAAGGGGAGAGTTGGGATAAAGGTGTGTGATAGAATTGGAAGATCAAAGCCTTCTGTCACAGCGTGACTGAGCCCAGGGGCGTTATGGGTAAGACAGGCCACGCACACACTCGTACGGACAGACACACACACTCACACTCACCCTCACTGCTGGTATTTGACTCTGAGTGTGATTGATACTGGGCTAGATTTGGAGAATCACTCTCATTCGTCTCTTCGCAGATCAAACAGCCACATAATCTCCCATAAAGGAAAGAGAGATGGGGAAGGGAATAAAAAAGGGACAGAGGGGGAGAGTGGGAAGGAGGGGGAGAGAGGGAGGTGACAAAGCCTCCTCAGCTGTGAAGTGTTTTCTTGTTTTCCATAAAGAAGAGCCGGCAGCTTAATAACACATCCATCATTCAGCTCCATTAAACTGCTTCTTGTGCGCATCAGAGAGATATCTTAAAAGACAAGTGTAAATGCGAGCGTTTAGACACCATTTACACCTGGCAGACACGAGCAATATGTATCCCCGTACCTTTCATCTGACCTGGGAGTTTGTATGAAAATGAGTTTATCGAGATTCGATGCCATTCCGAGCAGAGTCGAGATAATGAGCACTTATTGATTCCAGGTTTAAATGCAAAGGCATGTGATCTGATACATATTGGATGTAAATAACGTATAACCAGAGTCTTACAGATGGATTACAGATTTCTGAAATCACCTTGGGAGGGGCTTACAGAGGTTCATTTCCCATCCTCCACCTTAGTGACCTGATTGATTCCTCGCAGTAAATGCATTCATCTCTGCATAGGTAATCTTTACTGCTCTTTTTTTCATCCCACGCCTATAAAGGAGAAATGGGAAGTGACACAAGATCAGATACAGAACATAATTGTCAATTACTCCAGAAGCTTAAAGGTTAAAGAGAGTTTAGCCCATACTCATATGTCAAGAAAATCTGGCGAAGAGCCACGGTTTCATATTACAGATTACAATAACATACCTTAGGAAACAAAATGGCAAATTGTAACTTCATTAGTCAAACACTTCCTGTATCTAAAACTGAAATTGGTTGTCTCTACTGAATTTCCTAATGCTACAGTTCATTGAATATCGGCACTTTTGGCAGATGTAACAAGAGAGAGCTTCGAACTGATGTCGAACACTGAATATGTATTGGAAGGGTGGCTGGATAATTGAAATGGACATATGCTGAGACACCATAGTGACACAGCCTCTGCCCAAGCAACTCTGCGAGTCTTTCCTCGATATATTACTGTTCCTAAGAGAATAATCAACATTTGATAACAAGTCAAAGCAAGCTCCTAGAAGGGATTGACTGGCTCCAGGGAGCTATACACCATGATAAGATGTCCTTACTGCAAGCAGAATCAACTATCTGGGTCACACCTGTGGAGAAAGGATGTTAAAGCTCAGAGGCCATTTGCCTGCATGAGACAGGGGAGTGAGAGGAGAGGCAAGAGCTAAGATGAATAGAAACAAAATTAAAGGGAAATAATATTTCATAAAGTACTGTTCCTGTTTATCTCACACCTTGTCTTTCAACCACTGATTGTGAGTAAATAAGAGAAGGCAGTGTGTGAGTGGACTTAAGGCAGTCGTGACTTGTGTCTCTATTGGGGGCTACTTTCTGTAATAGCTACACTGGTTCTAGCATAAATAAACTGCTGCTGCTCCTTGTTGTACATTCTTGTTTTTGGACTGCCTCTGCTTGGAGGTTAAGTTTTGGAAAGGATCCAAATCACAGGGCGGGCGCACATTATCTCTCACAGCCTTAGCAGAGGTCAGAGCTCTCCAAGTGTACTTATTGTTAGTCGTCTGGTTTGAAAGAATCTCCATTATTTTTGCTCTTAAACTTCTGGTCTTTGGCTTGTTCTTCTTTATTTGTGGTGTTTTTAACAAACCGGCCAACACCTTCTGCAGTGAAGGGTTTTAAGGTTAAGCAAGATTTGTGTTGCAGAAAAACAAATCTAGGGCTATTACATTCTATATCTGGCACACTCATACACCCATGAGTGAATGCATGTTTTAACCTATCTGGATTTGTTCTGGATTCGAGAGAACTGTAAGTGATGGCAGCATCTGATCCATCACGGCTTCTCAGGAGCACCACAGGGAGCCATAGCGGTCTCCCATACATTGTTAATATGTGCAGGGATTTCATGTTTTATTTTCCTCTTCTGTCTCCACAGATGCACCACCCTATTCAGATGAAACCTGCAGACAGTGAGAAATCTAACGGTGAGTGTCCATACAAACACACACACACACACACACACACACACACACACACACACACACACACACACACACACACACACACACACAAAGACAGACACGTCAATATCTCACGAGCACACGCATCAATGGCCTTTTTAAATTTGCCTCGTAATAGCTATCTCACCCGTGTGTTTGCTCGCAGACGGGACGGGGGACTGGGGGGAAAAGACTGTGCGAGAAACATAAAGGGGAACAGAGAAAGAGAGATAGAGAAGGGGGGGGGGGGGGTGCTGATATCTATAAATATATTCTTATATGAGTGATGAATTATTAAAGTGCTTCGTAAGGAGGTCAGAGCGAGTTGAATCGGTTTGGCCTCATGGTGAACCGGCCTCCCTCCCCTGAAGGCAGATCGCTCCTACAAACATGCTGAACAAACACACACACACACACACACACATGCAATTGTATGCATATATTCCACACAAGCGCTGTCACACACCCTCAGATCACCCCATTTCCAAACTACATATTGCAGATCTAGTTCTCCAGAGATTTCCTATAACCGAGACTTCATTCCATTTCAATCTAAAGAGGCTGTTTGACCGTACACACATTGTCTCTAGTGGGGGAATGTAATGAAGTACTTTTACTCAAGTACTGTACTTTAGCAACATTTAGAGGTACTTTCACTTTAAATATTTCAATTTAATACCAACTCTTTTGTACTTTTACTTAAGTAAGGTGCAGGATTTTGACTTGTAAGAGAGTATTTGTACAATTTAGTATTGCTATTTTGAAGTAAAATATACTGTGTGAGTCCTTCTTCCACCTGTGCTGGTCTCCTAAAAAGTACATTCCCATACAACAAAATTGCATTGTCAATCACATTTTGAGAGAAATCTATATTCTTCCAGATTTGACCAGATGTTGGTTTTTGACATATCACAAATATGTCAGTGTATAGCAAAGAGGCATGGGTGGATAAACCAAACACATTCCCTCCCTATTGTTTCTTACTTATTGCGTGAATCTTTTAAAACAGTTTAAGATACTGTATGTGGTTTTATTTTGTTTTAGCAAACATTATACTCATATGTTACCCCAAGGAAACTGAAGATGCTCAGCAGTGCTTCCCTCCCGGGGTGCGCTGGGACTTTGATTTCTTTTGGAGTACATGAATGATAGCATCTTGCTTCTGTGTAAAAGCGAGATGAAATGTGTGAGCACTGAGCAGGGCATCATTTCAGGAGAGATTTTAATTTCATTTGATTGCCTTGAAGTGGGCATGACCTTTCAATCACAGCGTCTCAGGAGAACCACAGGGAACCAAAGCGGTCTCACCTGCATTGTTAAAGATGGAGAAATGACAAACCTTTCAAAACAACAACAAGGTTTTTCCTACAGACAATAACACATGGCTACACAGCAACAGGGCTGCATTTATAAAAAAGAACACATTTCAAATGTTTTCACTGATAATGCAATTGGGATTGGATTTGCGATAATGAAGGGATTGATCAAAAAAATTAAGTTTTTCACATTTCAGTGGAAATATATTAAAATAATTATGGTGGGATTTTTTTAAGACTACCAAACAAAGACATTTTATTAAGTCTGTAGAATACCAGGACCTCTCTGCAGCACCACCGTGAATCATAAAGCTATTTTCACCTACTTTTTCTTTACCAAATAATGACTTATGTAAGTATATTCACAGTAGGGCAGCAAAATCCCACAGAATCATGCAAAAGCACCACTTTATATCTTGCTGATAAGTTTCAGGAGAAAAGCATTAAAACGTGACTTAATCAACTCTCCTGCTCTATTATTCCCATCTGTTTTTTAATTGGAACCATGCAGGAATTGCACTCAGTGTGATTGTCAGGTTCATTATGCTTCGTGATATTTAGTCAAGGTATATTTGGAAACTAAAAGGCGATGTAATTAAAGATTTTAGTTTAATTGGAGAGTTGAATATGGTTGACATCTTTTTTCCTAAAGACATTTTATTTGGTTTCTATTTGAAGGCTTTGAGGGTTGATTAACCTGGTATATATTATGTTCTGCTTATGGATTGTTTTCTAGTTTTATGGAGGGGTTTTGAAACGACAGGCCTCTGGACAATAACATATTTAAGCAGTGGTGGAAAGTAACAAAGTACTTTTACTTAAGCGCTATAATGAAATACTTTTTAGACATACTTACTGTAATTGAGTATTTCCATGTTATGCTACATATACTTCTACTCATCCATTTCCCACTGTAACCATTTGTTAACACTCATAGTCGCTAGCTACTTTTTACATATACAAAACGTGATATGTTTATATGATATGATCCAATATTGTATTTCAAAAAAATATATAAAATGTATTAAAACTCAACATTGACAAACTTCAAGAATAAAATACTCTTATATGTATTTGTTTGTAATGAATCAGGATCCTGTAGTAATATAATACTGTGAAAAGACAATATTTTGAAATTGAGTACTTTCCCTTGATACTTTAAGTACAATTGGCTGAAGATACTTCTCTACTTCTACTTAAGTAACATTTTGAATTCTGAAATGTTACTTGTAGTGGACTATTTTAAGACAAATGTAGTTCTGATTTTACTTAGGTAAAGGATATAAGTTTGTCGTCCACAACTGCTAAAGAGGAGACCCATCTTGTGACCGCAGATTTTAAATCTCTTTCAGCAGTTGCTTAAAGAAATCTGAATAAACCTTAATGTTCGGGGTCTCTTTGACCTCTTAGGGCCGCTTGGTAAATCATTCATGAAATGGTATTTGAAGATGTTTGCTGCGGAGCTTTTTGCACACAAATGTTCTCGAGATAAATTGAATTTTGTTTGCTATGCACACACGATATAACAAACAACATTTGAAAAGCATAACAGCAACATGAGCCAAATTCCCGTTAATAATCCAAAGAACTAACAGCGGTTATTTACCCCGGGTGGAAAAAGATTTCCCATTTCAAATAGTTTTCAGTGGATTATTCAGGGTGACATAGCGCAAGAAATCTCTACAGCAGATGTGGGAACAATTTGGCAAATAAAATTGAAATTATTTGCATGGCTACGTAGGAAGATGTGTGTTTTTGCAATTTGGGTGAAGTGACCCTTAAACATGAGCAATTGAGCAGAATATGAAAATGGATACAATCATGATTGGATGAAGTGACCATTAAAATCCAGTGCAGGTTTTAAAAATAGGTTTATTTCTGAAATCCTTTTTATTTTTTAAACATAAAAGCATTGCCTGCTCCATCACTCTCCACCATTGGAAAAGTACATTTACTCAAGTGCTATATTAAAGTACAAATTGAGGTATATTATCCAACACATTTCTTTATGTGTCACTTCATACCTCTACTCCAGTACAATTCAAAGGGAAATATTTTAAGTTTTTATCTCAATACATTTCATTTACAGATTAAGTTACCTTATAAATTCAGATTTTTACACACAACACAACGGAGAACTTTTAAAATGTGGCTCTTTGGTATAGATTAACCCATACAACATTATATTTAAGTACATAAAACCATGAGTTGGTTAACAGATTATGAACTGGCAGCAATTTTAACATTTAAACATTTCACAGTTTAAGCTTCTAAAATGTGAAGATTTGCTGCTTTTCCTTTAAAATATTTTAAAATATTTCAATATATATTTTGAGTTTACTGTTACTCCTATTACTTTATCCTGACCACTCCGAAATACTTACTTAATAACCATTGTCAATGCAGTACCTTAGAAGATAAGCATTTAAAGTGTATTATCAGTACTTTTACTGAAGTGAAGGATCTGAATACTCTTCCCACAACTGCTTTCCTCTGCGGGGAATACAATAAACGTCAGGGGAGTAATCTTTATGAAAGCCATCATCCGCTCTACTGTAGCTCTATATGTGGAAATATGACTTTATAAGACATAACCGTAAGGGTAATGATGGCGGAACTTAATAAAGCTGCGTAATAGTGAAATATAAAGCAGACGTAACATATCCATCCACTTAATGGTAATGACCTTCAGTAAATTCAGTGTAACAGTGACAAATAGATAGCTTTATTAGTCTAGTCAGTGGAGGAGGAGAAGAAGAGAGGTACATTATTCCAAGTGGTGGAAGAATTACTAAGACCTATTACTTCAGTAAAAGTAGCAATATTTAATTGTAAAAATACTCTTTTACAAATAATAATTATTGTACTTAAGTAAAAGTACTAAATTATTGGCATTAGCTAATAATGTGAAACCTGAAAGCTGTCAGATAAATGTTGCAGAATAAAAAGTACAATGTTGGCTTCTAAAATGGTGTGGAATAGAAGTATAAAGTAGTTAAATGTGAAAAAAATGCAGGTAAAGTACACAGCTTGAGTATTTATTTATATACAAACCATCACTGATTATAACAAAGAGATAACATTATTGCTAAATCCTGTGCAGTGAGTTTTCCATTCACTAAACTTGTGTAATTCTTTTCTTTTGGCCTCTTTTAAAGTGCTAAAACTCAGCGTGAAGCTGGTTCTGCTCTAATATCCCCCAGAATGCAAAGCTGACTCCAGTTCATCTCAGAGCTGGATTCATAAGTCTTATCACCCCCCGAAAAACAGAAACAGTCAATTGTAACCATATCGCCTCTCTTTTCTTTTCTATCGACACAGAGTAAATTAATTACATTGCTGTTAGACTTGTGGTAATCTTCCTCTGGAGTGATGTTCTCACACACACACACACACACACACACACACACACACACACACACACACACACACACACACACACACACACACACACACACACACGCTGTGTACAAAGGAGTTAAAGCTCTTTGAAACAACACTTATCTTGGCAGCGTATCCCGCCGGTTTGCTTTTTAAACACACAAACAATTCAAACAGCAAAATAAACAAGTGCGCTATTGATTTCCCAGAGTGCAACAGACCGCTTATCTCTTTCGCCTTGCGGTAGGAGCTGACAGTTTCCTCATTAAAAATGAATTGGATTAGCATTACATTGAATGTGGTGGGAACACGTACACACATATTGTTTCTTGGAGCGTTGAGGATTTCACTCTCAGCCTAATTCACATTGAACCTCTCTCACGTACACAAAGTTTCTCACCGCTACCTGCCGCCGGATCACATTCCTGGATGTTGCACCGGAGGAGGAGGGATTGTGTCAGCGAGGGAGGAAGGGAGGAGGAATCCATGAGGGAGAAGGGTGGAGGAAAAGGGGGGAGAGGTGGTGGGAGGAAGAGGGTGAGAGAGGACAAGCTGGAGAGTCTCAGCACGCGGTCGCTGTTGAAGTGATAATGAGACATTGATCAGAGCCTGGCAGATGGCATGATGAAATACATGAACTCTGTCTGTCTTCATCTCTCTCCCACTGTCCTGTCTCCCTTTCTTCCTCTCTTTCTTTGACTGTTTCTTTTGATTGGCGTTTTGTTCTGTCTCATTGCATTTTCCATACTTCTTTTATCTTTTTCTTCTGCTCTGGATTACACTTTTTCTTTGTCTTTATTCCCACCAGGCGTTTCTTTCTCCTGTCATATGTTTGAGTTTATTCTCCTATATTGTTGTATGTTCAAGAACAACGGGTTCAGAAGATATTTAAATGATTCTTAACAAATAGTATTTCTGGGAATGCAATGGGGGGGGGGATCAGGTTCACGTTCAAAGTCGATAGTTACTGAGATTGGGAAAACTATGTTGCACATTTTTGACGCCACTGATCCATACATGAACGTTTTTGTTTATTTCATAATTAGTAAACTAGGGATTATTTAGGTTATGCTCATAGCTAATTTGTTCTATTTTAACATTTTTCCCTTATTTGAGCAAATCTTTTTTGAATTGATAGTTACTTTCTTGATTAAAGCTTTCTTTTCAGGACATTTTTTACAAATTATACATTGAAAAAGTAATATGCCATATCAAAATGGTGGGTCTCTCCCCGGTGTAAACGCCACCAATGTTCAAGAAGCAACGCATACCATTGCAATGGGAAACAATACTACAAGTGCACATTTCCACATGCATTCTCACGTTTATGCATTCATACAGTACACACACAATCTCACAAACACTCTACATCCATGCCATACAGTTAAATAAATAGCTCCAAATCATAGGAAATGTTTTGGCTTTCTTGCCCAGAGTTATAGAGGATTATTCATACCTCTCATGTTTGTATGGTATATATGAAGTGTTTTTCCAGCAGCTGGTTAGCTTAGCTTAGCACAAAAACTGGAGAAAAAAGGGAAACAGCTAGCTATGCTCTATATTAAAGTAACAAAATCCACCAACCAATGATGTTTAAGCTAATTAATTATACATGTTATATCTGATTTGTTTCTTCAGTGTTTCAACCAAAGTATAAACATTACAAGTTGTGGTTTGATCTTCTTATCTAACTCTCTACAAAAACACCACATTCAAACAAATGACACCATGTCTGCCCATTCCTTTGAATGTGCAGAGATTTACTGAAAATGTTGCCCAAAGGAAATACAACCAATGCTCTGATATACAGCCAACACTGCAAATAAAGCTATAACTGTGCTATCAAGCCTTATATTAACACTCTTTCTCATTTTTCTTCTTCTTGGCTCTGCAGCTGTGGAAGACAGGAAGTTGTTCATTGGCATGGTGTCAAAGAAGTGCAACGAGAACGACATCCGGGTCATGTTCTCTGCATTCGGACAGATCGAGGAGTGCCGAATCCTCCGAGGGCCGGACGGACTGAGCAGAGGTGTGTGTCACTCCGACTCACTTCCATCCACACGTAATGCTCCTCATGTGAATTTTATTACCGCAACGGCCTCCAGCAGATGTTGCTGTTCAGTGTGTCTGCTTCTGTCGTGACTCAAACTCAAAACCCTGCAGGAAGTCTTGACCACAGTTGGCTGGTGGAGATGGTTTCTGAGCCAATGGCTGGAGTGTAAACTAGATTTTTCTTAGCATTAATGTACCCAAAAATCGAGGAATTTAATGTTTTCTTTAAGAAAAGGCTTCATTCAAAACACTCTTTTACTCACTTAGAAGTTTTTACTGCATAATCAGCAGCTTATTTGCATTTCCAACAATTTTTCTCCTCACTGTCTATTACTGGATGTTTTTCCTGAGCTGTCAATGTCGCAGGAAGACAATGTTTACTGTAAACATTGGTGATTAGTGAGTGCTTCCTCGAGAAAAAACATAAAACTCTTCTGGAGTTGCCTTAAATCTGCTTCATTTACCTAAAAAAAATAAGTGTTAAGATGGAATTCTCGCCTTACCTTGGCCAACAAATATGGCAGACTTTACACTGACCGATCCCAGCTCTCTGTACACAGTCTTCTTCCTTTGCAGTCACTAAAAAGAGCTTGAGTATGTCAGTTAGCAGCATATTTTTTAGTTAAAATGCTGAGCACAGGTGTGAGTAATGTAATGCTCCTGAACCAAGAGTGATAGTGAAAAATGGTTGACTGAAATGAAATCAAACATCAGTCATCTTCTGCTTCACTGCGTTGTCGGGGAAGGGTGCTCTGTACACATCTTAGAAGGAGCAGCAAAAAAAAATGGTGAATAGTGTTAATCTTAAGTGATGTCTTTACTGTGAGCTGTAAGGCCTCAGAATACCAAAATCACTGAGATAATTGTCATACAGTGATTAAAGAAGACCAACTAAATCCACCAAAAAAATCGTTGGAATCAGAAATGTTACGTTGACAAAGACAAAGAATTGTAGCTTTTATATTTCACTCTATATCTACGATAGTGGCCGTTTATATAATGTACCAAGTTCCTATAGGCCACTTAGTCTCCAAGCATATCTTAGTAGGTGATTTCCATTCAAAATTACATCTAACCCTAATTGACTTAATGATTCAATGGTATAAACTATAACATTAGCAAAAAACGAAAATACTTCAGTCAATACTTGTCCCATAGGATCGTACTTCTAGCATCTTATGGATATCGTAGTTAAAAACGATATTTGGCCACTGAAAACTGCGTATAGTGCATTATCACCTTTTGTGAATAACATGTTAACATGAAAATAGCAACCAGCAACAATACCTTAGCGTTGTCCAAATACTATAATATGAACAAAGGCTTTCAAGACAGCATGGTATTTAAATGATGTTATCTGCATCTACTTAATTCATTGCATCCGCTTCTGTTTTCTACCAGCTGCTTGTTGGTCGAGATTTCTTCGAGGTTCTGAGAGAGTCACGATGAGAAGTAAACACACACGAACCTCAGCGACATCTTGAGGCTTTTGTGACCACTGTGAATACATGCTTCTCCTTTTCGCTCTATATATCTCTTTTCCCCTCTCTCTCTCTCTTTCCCCCCCCCCCCCCCTCGCTCTCTCAGCTTCAGCCCCAGATCACCCCTCTCCCCCCCCCTCCGACCTCCTAACCTCCATTCACATCCTCCACCTTCCCCGCTGATCCAGTTTAGCCTCACTGTAAGACAGTCCTCGGCTCTTTGATACTTCCGCAGTGAAGCTGAAGGGCATTTTAGGGAGACATGTTGCTGCTTGTTGCATTTACATGTATGCAGTACGTTGGCTTTATTTTACACAGAAGAATTTAAATTTCAAAGCCAAGCAGCCATTTTCCTTTCCTTTTTTTTTTGCATTGGTTTAAGACTAGATGAAATACTCATCGCTCAATCACTGTTTTTTCTGTCGTTCTTAAGGTTATACAGGAAGTAGAATCAGCAAGTAAACATTCTGCAATTGTAACAAAAACATATATGTATTTATATAATGCATAAGTAGGGTTAGGTATTATTTTAAATCTTCTATACTGGAGCCAATACAAATGTATAAAGGGCTCAGGCTTATATAACTACTTTATTAAGGTAAAGGAGAGCTGGTGGTCATGATTAATTATTTAATGACATGAACATATTCTAACACTCTGGTTGGTTTACATTAAAGCAACTGAAACTACTTAAGTTAATAGTTACCAAATTGTATTCAATACTGTATTTTAACAACATCCCTTTTTGTATTCATCAAAAATACGCCAAAGTCTCAAATGTCAAAAGCAGCTTTACTTTAAAATGATCAAGATTTGATTAAGACATTGTCTTGTCAAATAATATGAATGTGACTTGACAGTGTCTGTCTTACCGCCTTAAATATAAAACAATTAGTACCAAAATAGCATTATGGTTTGAATTCAAGCCCCAGAAAGCAGAATGTCAAGCGAATTGTAATTATTATAAAAAAGAATGGAAACTATTAGCAACTATTTCTTGTTTGTTGATCTGGAGAATGAAGAATAAAAGAAGTCTGCTCCGAAATAAAAGGTAAATAATCTGTCAACACAAGAGTAAATATCATCAATACTCCAAATATGGCAGTATCTCAATAAGCTGTTCTACTAGATGTGGAGAAGGGTACAAACTGCTTCCAGGCAAACGGTCTACTTGTTGATGTCATGCTGTGTTTGCTTAATGTAATTGCAGTACGTTAAGTTGACATAATGTACTCTAAACAAAGTGCTCCGGGGCTGGTTAGAAAACGAGAAGCAGGCCCATTATCAGGCTGTCAAACCAATTCGATTCGTCGTGTTCTGAAATCTCCATCAAACTAGAGTACAGGGATTTAAAATAAGTTCTTTAAAAGTGGCCAAAGTCACAATTTCAGTGGATCATAAGGTCTGCATTTGACCACACAAGAGTCATCTATCAATCCCACCCAGCGATTGTACCTCTATAAATAGCCCTTGTAGTAACACAGGGATCCCTTGCATCATCAACCATTCTGCCCCACAAACACAGGCCCCTGCCCTCCCCCTCTACTCTCTTCCCAAAACCTCCCCCTCCCCTCTTCCCCTTTGTGGTTTCTATGTGCTGAGGAGATGGAGGGGCTTTTGAAAAACTCTCTGTCCTCCTTTTCCTCCTCCTGTCACACGAGCTGTCACTGTCATCGTCACGAAAGGTTCAATGTGGATCTGTCGTATATTTTTGTCTGTGCTTGTCGGGCGTTATGGATGTTTTCTCGTCGACTCGAGTCTCATTTTCTCAATGTCTCTCTTTCTCCTTAAGGTTGTCCCTATCTAGAAGCAATCTTTGCCTCAAACTGCACTCCTCAAACTCCCATGTTCCTTTGCGCCTCAAACAGTCTCTATTTACCATCGCTGTCCTAGAATCCAGTCTTGCATCAATTTGTCCTCCTTCTCCCAGACATCCCCCTCCGTTTTTCTCCTTCCATCCCTTTTCAGCTTTTTCGTCCTCATGAATATTTCAGATTGAAGGCCAAATCCTTGTTCCTCTAGATCTGATAAACCACTTAGCGCTGGGAAATGTGCTTTTAGTCCAGCTCGGATCTGGCTAGTAAATAAAAAGCCTAACCAGGTTGGAAATAAATAGGTCTTTAAGGATTTGTCGGTCCCTAGAGGCCTTCAGTTCCACCAACTCGTGTTAAAGCGGTATCAATCAGCAGAGAGCTCCTCTATCCCACTATTAATAAAATATGGATCACACCACCAGTGGATGTCTGGGCCTTGGGAGCTACCCTACTTTCATTAAAGGACTGTTTGGTTCTCCGCTGACGACAGAATGCGGCCCGTGAGGTATTTTTAGCGCTTAAGCCTCGTCCCATCCCTCTGCCAAAATGAAAAATAAGACAAGCACCAACGAGCCAAAGCACGGATTTTACAGTTTTATTTTTTCTTTAGCAGCTCTGACTTTAACAAAGCACATTTTCGGGCACGGAAGACTTCTTTATTTAGAAGCTTCAGCAGAATCGCTCTTTTGAAATTAGAATCAGAATACTTTATTTATCCCAGGGGGAAATTGCGTTTTGAAACAGTCGCTCCATATATATAGAAAAAATTGAAAATAATGATTTAACCATAAGACAATAAGAAAATAACAAAGTGAAAATAGGCAATAAAGCGTAAATAGGTTAAAGTAAGAACATGTAAGATTCAAGATAAAATCACAGGAAATTAAAGTAATTATATGCAATAACAGATCAAATAAATAATAATAATAATAATAATACATTGTATTTATATAGCACTTTTCTGGAACTCAAAGACGCTTTACAGTATGAGGGAGGGTAGACAAACAAGGACAAGCAAAACAAAAAAATTATTGATTGAATGATTCATGTTAACAAATGCTCAATTGTGCAGTAAAAGAGAGATCAGCTAAATATATAAATAATTGTAGGGGAGGTTAGGGTGTTCTGTCTGCACAAGGTTTTCCATCAGATGACAACCAATGACGTTCTTCCTGAACAGTTTTATAAAAATACAAATAAATGGTAGTAAAGACTCAGGACCTGTGAGTCTGGAGGACTATCCTAGAGCTAACTAAATCAACCCAGTTTTGGGGCAGCTCTTCTCTGCAGAGGACGGGGAAACCTGCTGGATGCTAAGCAGACAGATCGTGGCCCGTCGAAAATAGAATAAAATGACCCCTTTTTGAATGTCCTATCTAAAATAACATTAGCTAGAACTGCAGCCCCGTGCAGTGTTTACTAGGTCAGTGCTGCAACATGTGATAGCCTCAGTCTCTACTGCTCTGTAATGTTAGGTCAGAAAGGCAGGTTTACACAACATTTTAGCACATTTCCACTTTACCAGTTAGAAGAAAACATAAATATTTTCAGGTCAAATATGTTTTATACAAAATAAAAGCAGGTGTGGTGCATACTGCTGAAAGTTCTCATCTTTCTGAGGCTGAGTTCTGTATGTATTTATTTGAATAAAGATCTGTTCAAAGGTGATGCCTCTTCATGTAAAGCTTTTTAAAACTTTTACAAATAAGCACTTCTCTTGTTCTTTAAAGTGCTAGATAAGTTTAAGCTACTAAAGTACTTTATTAAGGTTAGGGAAAGATCGTTATCATGCTTAATATATACTCAAATTGAATCTAGACCTTATTGAATGGTATGCCAAATATAATGGGAACCACAGTTGTCAATTTCCTTTGATTGTGTTACATTGAAACTACTTCAGTTTATCTAAACATTGGGGTGATTGGAAAAAGAAACCTTGACTTTTGTTAAGAGATAGGTTACACTAACTAACAAAAACACTTTTCCATACAGTATTGTATAAATGGACATTAAAGGTGGGGTAGGTAAGTTTGAGAAACCGGCTCGAGATACACTTTTTGTTATATTCCATGGAATGCTCTTAACATCCCGATAGCAATGAATATCTTAAGTGCTTTGACAAAAAATCCATAAAAAATGTTCATCTGTGGAAGCCGTAATACTGTAAAAAGCACGACCAATCATTTTAGCCGGCCCGGCTAAAATGACTGGATGGCCTACCTGCCTGTCAGCCTTCCATCTGTGCACAAACTTATCTCGTGCCCTCATTGGTCATGTGCGCGTTCGTGTGTGTTGGAGGAGGGGCTCTGTAAGGAAGTGGCAGATTTTCTCCGGTTGTGTATTTTCAAATTCTAGCGATCTCGAGCCGGTTTCTCAAACTTACCTACCCCACCTTTAAATAAAAATATAAAGTAAATATGAGTATAAAGTACAAAGTGAGGTTATCGGAAAAATTTGATACAAAATACTTTATATCAGAATATTTAGAGATGTTGGGTTTCGTGACAATTTCTCCATTTAAAAAAGATGAATAAATAAAAAAAGTAAAAAAACTTAACAATAAAATATATTAAATAAAGATTTATATAACCATAACCACCATCTAATCTAAGAACTAACAATAAAAATAAATAAAAAATAAAATAAAATATGGATATAAGTCAGATAAATAAATCCGATTAAGAGTATAAACACAAAATTAAATACAATTATGATATTTTTACAAAGATAAGAAGTTGAATTAAAATGTCCAATAACACACTAAATAAAAGAAATAAGAGAAAAACTGATCACTCTACACTGCTTCTGTCATCGAAACAGCGTTGATAAAGGTGAAGCAGGACATGATGGCATCTGTTTCCTGAACACATCTGTCTGTTCTCTCTTTCTCTCTTTCTCTTGCATAATCCATCTCCTCCTCCCTATTTCCTCCAAAACCTTTCATCCCATCCTCACAGTCTATCTGATGACCAGGGCTGTCAGATTCCCCCCTCTATCGTCAAACCACGAGTCAGCCAGCCGAACCTGAACCTGTGTGTGTGAGAGTGTGTGTGAGCATGTGTGTAATCAGTTCAGGCCTGGCTGCGCTAACATGGCTTAGTGAGTTTGTTAGCATATTATTAGTCTGGGGGGTTGTTGAAGCACTTCTCACATTATCTCCTCTAATCACTCCCTTACCAGTCAGACAAACACAACCTCCTTATGCTCCAACAGCCAATAAAAAAAAACCCTCGAGCTGCGTCCAAACTTGATTGGCTAAAATCAGTGTCAGTCACGAAGGAGGTCGACTACACCTCCGCTCATCTCCTGCTTTTCTCTCCGTGGATTGATTTGAATACGATTTTCCATCTGACTCTCGAGGCACCCGCAGATATTTTGTCCCGTCTCTTTCCTCTTCGACAGAGAGAGAAAGAGCCAATCAGACGCACAATACAGGGCCAAATTAATTCAAATGCATGCAGATTCGGCCTGATTTACATTGAGTGGGATTCAGGTATGACTAATTCGGTCAGTGTGTAGCAGCGATAGGAGAGAATAAGAGACAGTGACAGAAAGAGAGAAAAAGGAGGGGGAAGAGCCAATCAAAAGCCCCCGATGATGATTTTGTCCTGTGGTGGGATGGGGTTACGGGGGGTATGTGGTCGGATCAGTCTCAAAATGAATAAATGGGTACAGAAGGAAATGTACTTTGGGATTTATATATAAATGTTTCCATCCACAAAAATTCAATGCACACAAAAAATATTTAGCTTTAAAAAAAAAGAAGGAGAAATAATCAAAAATATATTTTGGATTCCACAGATACATATTTCTCGTTTTTAAAATAATACAAAAATACACAAATATATGCATTTAAAAGTATTCGCAAGTTTCTGTACCATTAACATAAAAACCGCTCTTCATTTAAGTAGAAGTACTTGAGTAAATGTACTTTATTACGTTCCACCAATGTTCACAACAGAGCATAACAACGACAGTCAACCTTAAAATACTTTATAAATATAAATACTTCTGTCTGTGCATTGAAAACATTTTTGGACGGAGATATTTATATATAAATCCCCTGTTACATTTGTGAATCCTTCTGTGTGCATTTATACACTTTGAGGCTGATCCGGGTTGTTGTCATGACACTGTGCTTGTTCTTCCGGCTGTTGTTTCCACAGCGACTGATAACACTGTTGTCCTCCTGTGAGCTGTTCTCTGTATCAATCTCTGTTTGAATTTTTTTTATAACAACGACGTGTCCAACCCTTTTGTCTTGTTCTTGTTCTTTCTTGTCCTCCCACCTCTTCTTCCTCTTCCTCCTCCTCCTCCTCCTGCCCCCCCTCCCTTCCACTGTCCCTCCATCCCTCCCTCCCCCCCCTTCCCCCTCCCCTACAGGATGTGCGTTTGTCACGTTTTCCACCAGAGCTATGGCACAGAATGCAATCAAAGCCATGCACCAGTCTCAGACTATGGAGGTACTGTACTCTCACTCTCTCTGCCTCTTTCTGTCTCTCATTTTGAACATGCACTTTACCCTGTTCATTTCCAGGCATTTTAAATAGCTGCTCTCATGTTTGAATTTGTGTTACACCTCGAGTCACCTCTCTGTTAAAGTCACAACTTAACACGGAGACTTCTGAAGTTGGGCGAGTAACATTTGATCTCATTTACGAGCCTGAATCGAATGCTGTCACATTAATGTTAAGGTCTAGGCAGCAATTGGTTAAACAGGTTTTACAGTTGATTTTAAACACAAGAATAAATAAATCTCACATGTCACGTCTTTCTGGAAATGTGGGAATGAAAAAAACGTTCAGATCACACTGCCACATTTAGACGTTTCTCTCGTAAAGTCGTACTCCACCAATTTCTATATCAATTACTTCCCCCACGTGACCTTAAGTTCTTTAAAGGTCACCTATTGTGCAAAATCCATGTTTTCATGTATTTTATACATAAATATGTGTCCCCTCTGTGTAAAGAGATTAGGAAAGTTTCAGGAAAAAATATCCTCTCTCTTTTTGTCCTGATCCATTTATATAAAAACCTGTCTGAAAATGAGCTGATCAGATTTTGGCCACTTTGTGATGTCACAATGTTTTTTTGGGTTGTCTAACCATTAGCCCCCCCCCACCACCCCCCCCCCCCCCACCCCCCCCCCCCCCCCCCCCCCCCCCCCCACACCTTATCACCTGAATCTCCTCCTAGAGCACCATTGTGTTTTTTAACCAATCACTTCTCAGAGGGGCGTGGCCAGCAGCAGCTCATTAGCATTTAAAGCTACAGAATCAGCCATTTTGAAACAGGGCTGAAACAGAGGGGATTATGGGATGCATGATCTGTTTGGTATTTCAAACCAAACACTTCAGAGACATGTTTTGTATATATCTGAAACCTATAATATATCATTGAAAATGCTTATAATAGGTGAAAAATGTCCTTCATGCCTCCACCCTGAAGAAATATTCCAAATATCGAATAACCGTAAACTGGGGCCAAATTCTAAAGCAGAAAACCCTTTTAAAAGTCTGTTTTACTCAGTCAAATGTTCACTACGCATTTTTACTATAACCTTATTATTTGATATACTTCTAACTTGCAGATGAGACTATTTTGCATAAGTGTTTTGGTTTAAACAAATATGCATGCGTGAGGAAAGTAAGGGGTGTGAATGGGTAAATGAGATTTGGATTACACAGCATGCATTTTGTGAAATATTGTAAACAGATGGTTTAATATAGTTCTGCCTTTGGCCCTTATTTACTTTGATTCATAAGATTATTTTTCCATTTTTGTATTCTAAGTGCATGTGGAGGCGTGCAAGATAACACAACTTTTCTTCGGTGTTTGAATGTAACGCAGCGTGAGCAACTGATATACAAATGGCTTTTATTTGGTGTTCCTTTAATGTCTTAGAAAATGCGTGATGTCTTAGTTTGAGGCCCCTGCATTGCTGAAACAGAAGCCAGCAGTGTTATATCTTTGGTCACACATTTCTCAATAACAAACTTTGGCAGAGGCTCCAATGTGAGAAAAAAGCAGCACCATTGACCTGAAAGTCACAATGTGCAGGTGGTGTTACAGACCTCATCAGCTGCACCGCGACCCCGGCGGGGCCGTAATGGGCCCCAGCCGCTCCTCCTTTGTGTTCCCTCTTTTTTTGGGGGGGCGCTTTTGTCAACATTGTGAGGCTGGTGACAGGTCAGGGTGACAGGCTGTGATTGGGACCGAATTACATGGTGTAAGACGAGTGTCAGAGAGAGGAACAAAAAGGGGTAATAACAGTGTGTAAGAAAAGAGACGTTCACCCCCGAGCCCCCTCATTAGTACTGATCATGATAATCATGGCTGCTATTGATGTGCTGTGACCCTGACATGGGGGAAACGCATGCTGCACCCTGTGACTATCTGTAGACTACAGAAGGGCTGCGCAATTCATCTACATTTGATTAAAAAGGCAAAATGGACAAGTGCAGTATCCAAAATGCAGTTAGTGTATTTTTTGGTAAAAGCAAAATATGTGAAAATGTCTAACTTAAGGGTGTTAAGTTATGTGAAGCTGCAGATAAGCTCTGGCCAACAAACATCATTTTCAGCCTAAATAACAAATCTTTACTTAAAAAATCACACCATGGTTATTTAATATATTTCTCAATTAAAATGTGAATTATATATATATATTTTTTTAAATCAATCCCTCTAATATCTCATATCATATCGCAATATAATTTAAAATAATCATCATAATTTATTTATGTTTCTAATCGTGAAGCCTTAGTATACAGTGTGAGGGTTTTGTATTGTGTTTTTCTATTTTCACATTGTCAATTCTGTAATATCCTACGCTCTTTCAATGCACCGCAATGTTTTCCGCCATCGTTATCTACCTCATTCCAATCCACCTATTACATTTCCTGAAATGGCATGTTGAAGACTGTTTGAACAAATAAGTCCCCACCACTTTCCAACACAAAGTGACTTCCTTGCTGCGGATATCATTGAAGTGTGTGTGGATTTACGCTGAGCAGCAGCGGCGTTTCTGTCTGAGTAGAAGCAGTGACGGCGTTAGCATTAAGCTGGAATTATCCTCTTTCTGAGCCAGGTAAACACTGCCAGTGTCCTCCGCTTTTATCAGGCACACAGAAAAAGAAGCCTTAAACCATAACGATATTGCAGTGGACGATAGCAAAATACCTTCATTTCCATTTGAAAACACGCTGTGTAGCCCCAGGCGGGCCCCAAATTGCCGCAACCGTTTGTTAATGTTCCTCAGTTTTTGCAATTTAAAAGTAATTACTTCGGGTCCGTGTGAGGGAATGAGGTCTGGTAAATAGAGTTTGGTTATTGTCTTGGCTCTATTGCACTCCTCTGTCTTAGATAGAGCGAGATTGTGCGTACATGTCATGGCTGAAAAAATAAATGGGAATGTGTGTGTTGATGGCCCTGTCACTGTCGTATCCATTCTCATTAAGGCGTGACATTCAGGTACACAGTGGCACACACACAACTCACTGACACACACACACACGCTGGCTGAATGTCAGGCCCTAATGAAAGTGGATATGAGCGAGACAGGTAATTCACTGTCGAACCTCTGAAGACACACACAGGAAGTGGGCTGGCTTCGTTGTGTTGTATTTGTGCTTTACATTATCTACTCCTTTTATACATGGCCATTTAGCACTCAGCTCCACCTGTGCGACGCTTCATCAACACTGATTTCTGTTTCCGACGCTCCTTCTTCTCCCCACATGACACTGGGGACCCACTCAAACATTATCCTGCCCCCGCTGCACACACACACACACACACACACACATTCTCACCGCCGATGCACACGCGTTCGGGCGCATGTAAACGAGAGCTTAAGTAGAGCATGAGAGACAACAGAGCAGTGTCTGTTTTAATAGTAAACAACCACATCTGTCAATTGCAGTAAAGAGGGTCAGACAAGAGAAAGACAATATTAGATGAATAAGGGCTGATGTTGAGGGACATATAAAGCTGGATGATCCCATAGGTGTGTTAACAGGAGTCAATATAACTATATTCTGAACACAACCATAGGTGTATAAATATAAACAGTTTCACCTAAGTCCGTAGTTGTTTATTTAATATATACTGTTATTTATATGTTTATTCGTATTACCATGGCCCACTCTTACCTGTCCTATCCTGTGATTCAATCGTTTTCATGTTGCGGCTTTAACGCTTGAATTTCCCAACGGGGATCAATAAAGTTTTATCTTGTCTTATCAAATCCACTTCCACAAATAAGTCTCAAGATATCTACTTTTTGACTGTGTTTTATCACATCTGACAAAGGATTTATAAATGTTTGGGTTGTAAATCACCAGTTTTATTTTTTGTGATAATATGTCAAATGTTATCCGTTTTAGGGACGGCATTACTCTACCTTCTACTATGAAAATATGGATAACATTGTTTAGAGTCAGGAGCTTTTATGTTATCATGCAAACAAACAAACTACCTTTTGTCTGTAGAAAAAATTTAAATAAATGATTGCCGAGATCCGTTATTAAAAATGGATTTATTGAGAAATAATTGAGAAATCAAACCATTATCTGTAAATGGCATTGGAGACCAAGGAGAATATAGGCTAGAGTGAAGTAGTTGTTTTGAATTTGCAATATGGAGTAGTGCGATATTCAGATTAGAGGAAGGCTAAATATATGTTAAAATACAATTGTTTCATATCATTTTTTATATTTTGTGTAGCAACAGGTTTACACATCTTATTCTAAAGATCACCAACACATATTTGTTTTGTACAGATCTTCTTAGAAAAATCACACCATGACATTTTAATATGTTTTCAATGAGAATGAGGCAAAACATTTCCAATCACTTATTGTTTTTGCAATATCAGTCAAAAATAATCACAATGAGTTCTTTTTTCCAAATCATGTAGCACCCTTTTCTCAGTGCTTTTCGTGTGTTGGAGACAAAAGGTTAAAATAAATGTGCACGGATACTCCAGACTCGGTGTGCACACTTGTAAGGACAAGAGGGCCTCCTGCTTCCCTTTTAGTAGCTGCAGATAACATGGTTTGACATTTAAAGGCTCAGTGAGTGGTAAATAAATGAGATGGAGGACGCTCAGAGCATAAACTCTCTTGAAAGCTATGAGAGATTGATTTGCAAGGTAAACGGACCGGAGCTTATAAGTTCAGTTTGCGTGTATGCTTGGGAGAGATGGGAAGTGATGTGTGAGGCTCTCTCCACGCTTGTCTCTGAGAGTTGACTTCAGGGAGTTCAGTCAGCTTTATTAGGGAGAGAACTCCTGCTCGAGTCTGTAACTTCTGACAAAAAGTTCTACTTCTCTGCGTCGGAGGGTCAAACCACGGCCTGACGCAGGTGCTGAGGTGTATATTTAAACACTGTAATGACATAATTATACATATGGATTCCATAATTGTGCTAGGTGCTTATTGCTATGTATCATTTTGAGAATATAGGCTGTCATGGCTACTCTGACGCATATGTCAATCACATAAAAATACACAACGCCGAGGAGATTTCTACTTCTGGAGACACGGGTATGAGGCACATTCCATCTCTTTGAGGATGAACAACACGTATATCAAGGGCTACAATTATCCAAACTCTATGATATATTCTGAAAAGGAATCTTAGTAAAGGTTAAATAAGGTCTGTGGTCAACACAAGCTGAAGAGATTTTCATGTTTTGTTCTACGATAAAATATGTCAGTAAATAGCATTTGGCTAACGTCTGAAGCCTGTGTGGTAAAACAGTGTAGCTCAATTGGTAGAGCGATAGAGCTGGTTTCATCTCTTTTGTCTGCCCTCTTCAAATCTGTCGCAACAATAAAAGGCTCTGGTTGCCCAAAAATAACTTTAAATTTAAAAATGTAAAAACAGTGACTGCTACAAAAGTTAAATGAGACTACGGTACTAAATGTCATTATGCTAGCCTTTAGCTTAGCGGTGCTGACGTTATGTCATGTGACCGTGTTGTACTTATTTCATAGCCTAGCTTTTTACTTTTAGTAATGCTTTAACGATCATAAAATTGGTGTTAATAGGTGGAGATTATCCTGCCATTAAATTCTTTAAAGTATCATATTTTGCCACATAGCTTTTTTTCTGCAATATTCAAAAATCCAATGAAAACATCCCACTGCTTTTTGTCAGGGGAGCCCTTACGATGCTATCTTCTTGGGTTGGTCAACAACAATACGTCATCCCTATGCACTCTACACGTATGAAGTTTATTTTGAGATGAATGGTTATTATACACGCACTGATCCATCTACTAATAACATACAAAAACACACAACATACAGTAGAGATGCGTGTGTTTGGAGATGTTTTATGAGGGCCAATCATCTTGCTAAAGGATGATTGACATTGAGTGCCTTCAACGATCCAAACTATGCAGAAAAGTATCCACGTGAGGCATTTTTGTGTAGCAGATTTGTCAAAAATTGTAAGACACAAACCAAAAATAACATTTCAGAGAGTGCTTTCCCAGTGGAATTGTCTCCTGGGGAGAGAGATTTCTGTGAGTGCTTTATTCTCTTCAGATGTGAACGCTGTGCAACGTTGGAGACAGTGAAAATCTCTCTCCTAAAATAGTATCAAAAATAAATTGATGCTCCACCACCGGTATTGAATTAATGACATGTTATTTTCAAAATATCTGAATCGAGAGAGCATTAAACACAAAGCAGTTTCCACTTTTTAATGACCACAAAGTTTGTTGGTTAACATTAATTGACTGTTATTAATAAATTCAGTGTGTTGTTATATCTTTACAATCTACAAGGGACTCGTGGAATATTCTAGAGACGTAGAATCATCCTGTTGCCCCTTGCTGTTCGTCCAAAGGTGGCCCATTCAAAACAAATCAGATGCTTTACTAATAATACAACATGAAGTGTGATCGCACCCAGAGGCAGAGTTTTAACAGACGTCTTTTATCAACTCAAATCTATAAAAAACGATATTCTGAAACCGACAACAAAAAGCTTCAATCGTGCATGAGATGATGAGAGTCCGGATTCTTCCCTGTTCCTTGCTGTTCCTGTTAATTGTTAAGACTTAAAAAACTGTCGAAATGTAATATTTACAAATCATTCATGGTTTTGCCTGATCATTGATGTTGTTTCCCACGCATGGCTCATCAGCGCTATATTCACACAGAGTGAAATATCTGAAAGTTTGAGTTGTTTCCAAGCTTTAATAAATTATTCAATATCCCCCTACGGTCAGATCAAAGCTGGTTTTGTTTCTCTCAGTAAAACCAACACCTGCCACTTTCCCTCCTCATGTTCTCATCACTTAAGGCCAAAGTTGACCAACCGTCCGATCGCCCGTAAAACTTTAAAGTGCAGCCGAGTCTTCAGGGAGCAGCGAGCGTAGAGGCCCCCGGCCCCTCTCCCAGGGCAGGACCCTCATTCTGGGCTTGTTTTCCTCCCGCTCGCTGGGTGTCAGCTGGAGTAATGAGATATTTAGCAGAGAGGTTTGGGGAGTACTGTCTCCGGGGGGAATCCACTGACACTCTCCCTCCCAATGCAATCCTCCCCTCGTCTCCGTTATCTGTTGGCGGGCAGGATAAAGAGGCGAAATGATGGAGGGGGGGGGCAGTAAATATGGCCGCCGTAAGACAGGGGAGATGCACGCTCAGCTGATAACGTCCAGCCGTAGTCACACACAAGGAGAAACATATACAGAGTACATTGTAAAAGTGTGGGCTAGGCTGCTTTTAAATGATGCATTTACTGAATAGGAATTGTTTTATATAGATATAGATTTTTTGTATTATTCTTATTGACAATAGATATACTAAATTTATCTCAAATTGGTAAATAGTTTTGTTACAGCAGCATGTTTACAAGGCATTGCACAAAATATAATAAAATGCAACAAAGAATAGTACATTTTATACAGATCAATAGTATTAAGATAAATATATATCTATAGTATCTACAGATATTTATAAGAAATTCCTTGTTTTTTGTAAGATCTGGGTGATGATATTAATAACAGTAAAAATTGGGGAAAAATAAAGAAAAGAGAAAAGATATTTAAAAATAATTTGAAAAATAAAGAAACGAACATTGAAAATAATTAATAAATAATTAAAAATATATATAAAGAAAAGAGAAAGGAACATTGAAAATAAATAATACAAAAAATATATAAAGAAAAAGAATAAACAAAGTTACTTCTTTTTTCATTGCTTCAGAAATAACCTCTTTCTCCAAAGAACTGCTCACTAAATGTACTTTTTGCAGTGCCATCCAAAGCCTCTGTTACGAAAACCTCACTTTGACACAACACACCTGAACTGACACATTCCGCCCCACACACACACTGGGTTACACACACTTGACATATATCTCCTGACTGTAAAGAAGCCAAATCCCTCCTCTCCCCTGCCGAGTGCGGATCGTGCCTCAAACTAAATGTTTCAATCAAAAGCTTTTTATTCTCCCGTGGCAGATTGCCTTTGTTTCCGACGGATTCGCCCCTAGTTAGGCTTTGATTGCAGCGTGTGAGTAATTCTGTGGTGTGATAGATTATGACTCGCTGTTTTAAGCTTTGTGTGTTCCAACCGTCGCTGCAACTTTCATCAGGAGCGTGTCTTTTGTGACACACGGGGGATAGAAATGTGGACAATTAGTCACACTTCCCATTGTCCAAATCTCAAAATCTTCCTCTTGCCCTCTCCACCTCTGGGTCTCCCAATCTCTGCCTTTTTTTTTACACACTCTTCCTCTCTTACACACACACACACACTTCAAGTCTCTCTTCATATGAGATGATGAAATAGTTGGCGAACTCAGGAAATCTGTTTCTGTTGAAAGTGTTCTGGACTAGGAGATAACTGAGCCCTTGTGGGGGGAAGAAGAAAGCCCACCGGCTTTAGAGTCAACTTTCCTGTGTGACTCTGTGTGTGTGTGTGTCCTGTGTCACTCAGTGTGTGTGTGTGTGTGCGTGCGTGTGTGCGTGTGTGTGTGAGAGAGAGGGAATTGTATTTGGTGGTTTTAATTAAGAATGGATTTTTTTCTCTTTGCTGATGTAAAGTTTGTTAATACAGAAATGTGTGGTTGTTCTTTTGTGAGTCCCTCCAGTGTGTGTGTGTGTGTGTGTGTGTGTGTGTGTGTGGTGTGTGTGTGTGTGTGTGTGTGTGTGTGTGTGTGTGTGTGTGTGTGTGTGTGTGTGTGTGTGTGTGTGTGTGTGTGTGTGTGTGTGTGGGGTGTGGGTGTGTGTGTTCCCCTTCATCGTAAAAACCTTCATGGTCTTGCCGTTATTATACTGTATGTATTCAGTGTATTATTCATTTGAATGTTTAGGTGTGTTCCCTACCAGATTCCCTAATTATCTTCTGTTTCCTTTCCCATTTTCCTCATCTCCCCTTTCCTCTCTACATCTATCCTTTCATTTCTATATATCCTTTTCTGTTCTTCTTGCTCTTTCCATTGTTCTTTTACTTCCTCCTCTCTCTTTCATCTTCCTCTCATGTTCTATGTACTTCCTTGTCTCCTCTCTTCTCGTATCCTCTCCTCCCCTGTTCTTTTACTCTCCTCTTGCCTTCATCTTCGTCCTCCCTCCTATTTTCTCTCCTCTACACTCTCTTGATTCTTTTCCTCGCCCCCTTCCTCTCCCCCTTCGTCCCTCTCAGGGCTGCTCGTCTCCCATCGTGGTGAAGTTTGCTGACACGCAGAAGGACAAGGAGCAGCGGCGTCTGCAGCAGCAGCTGGCACAGCAAATGCAGCAGCTCAACAGTGCGACCACCTGGGGGAGCCTGACGGGCCTGGGGGGGCTCACCCCGCAGTACCTGGCTGTAAGGAGCGCCGCCTCCATCACCTCCCCCCCCTCCTACACCCCTTACTGCAGCACCATGGCCAACGTCGCTGCAGTCAGTGCCCATATTCAAAAATATCCAGATCCCCTGAAATCTTCCTCCCTTCTTTCCTTTGTTCCCTTATTCCTCTCCTCCATCCTCTCCTATGGGCTGACGGGGAAATGAGGTCTCTGAACAGGATGCTAAAAGCCAATAATATGTTATGTATATCAAAAATACATCCTCTGTTTTTCACCTGTTAGTGCCCTATACGTTATCAATGCAAGGACACATTTTCTTTACGAATGTTGTCAATTGGAGTACATGTTTTGGCCCAAAATAACAATTGTACATATCTTTACCCAATACTGTTTCCTAGAAATGTCCTTGACTTGCTTGGTTTGGATATTTAAAAAGTCTCTCTGGCAAAAGACCGGAAATAAATACATATATTTTCAAATGTAATTACAATATTTCCTAGCATTTGTCAAAGTGGTTGAAACTGAGTAGTTAATCCAAATATATACATTTCCATAACAATTTCATAGTATACAAACCACATTTTTAGGACCCAGGATTTACCCATGTTCTCTCTGGTTATCCTTATGCCGTAAATAATTGTTCTCCATTGAAAAACATGTACCTTATCTCCAAATGTGCTGATTTAAACCTTTCGACAAACAATACACTATTGTTTGTTTGTTTTTTAATTGATTAAGTAAAAGACTTGGCCATAACCAAGTCATGTTTCAGAGATTCAATTCATTTGATATATTCACCTATTATGGGCAATTCTTAGGACTTAGGAAAAGATGTGCGGGGACAGTTTGGGGCCCCTGGGAGTCCACAGATCCCCAATTTGAGGAATCCTGCATTGGAGGGTCTGCTGCTCAGCATCTGAGACCCTCTGCAGTTCATTTGTTTGATTTGGGGGATTTTCTGGTTTTAAAGTAGTGTTCAGAAACCTCGTTCTCTCTCTCTTCAGTCTTTACAGAGCCTTATACTCGGGACTCTTCGTGTAGAAAGTCCCAACCCTTTCCTTAAGTGCGCTTCCTTTTCTAACCTAACAGCCCACATTCTACTTATAATGCATATGTGAAAGTTTAGAGATTTGTTAAGTGCAATTAACACCTGTCAGCCCAGGCAAATGTCCCATCTGTACTGGATAATAATAAATGTTCTTGTGTGAAAATGTGAGATGTTTAAATTGGGCTCCAACATGTGTCTGCTCTGTCAGCCCCCTTTTATATTAAGCTCCATTCTAGATGGAAAGAAGTCGCACACAGTACAGAAACAAGATGTTCATTTGCTGTTAATTCAAGTCTTTGGAGGATGACTTTTTGACAGCATCAGTATTCCACTTTTGTTTTGGAAATCTAATTAGTTGGCTAGATTAGAGCTCTCATGCTCAACTTGTCTGGAAGAATCACGCCGGAATACAAACAGTGTTTGCTTAGAGGAGAGATCAAACTATATTAGCAGCTCATTTACTCAGCGAGTACTGAGGCAAAACCCACAGTAAAGCTCTCTTTATTAGCTTCTCGGTGTTGCCATGCATTTAGCAATGTGTTGTCCCGTTGATTTTGCTCAGGTTTAACTGCTTAGGATTCATAAAATATACATATTAACCCATATCTGTGTTACACCTTCTTAGCCAACTTCATCCCCAACACATTAATACACATTTGTTTCAAGATTCAAGGCGCCAATGCTTTATTGTCATATTTACAATCGCTAGTTTGGCCAATGAAAAATGAAAAATCCCAGGTTCTTTCAACAATGCAACATAAATAAACATAAGATATGAATAATAAAGCGAGTGCGAGAAGAAAAAAAAAATGGAGAAGAGTATGTTTATGCGTGTAAAATAGATGAGATAAGAATGTCAATCCATACAGTGGCAGTTTTTGGAATATATAATCAATAGGCCTATTTTCCGTGAAATTCGACCTACTTTTATAGATAAAATAAGTTAAAATTGAATAAACAAATGCTTTACATTTTAATAAAACACCTTTAATTCAATGAGAGTAGTCATTAACAGTTTTTGCTAAGCTAGAAACCACCCATGTGATGTTTATGCCCCATATTTCTGATGTTTAAACATTTAGCAACGGATCACATTTGACCCTATAAGTTTCTCTGAATCCACCTAACTCACTCTGTTTCTCCCTCTTCTCTTTCTCTGCCTTGTCTTTCTTTCTCTCTCTCTCTTTTCCCCATCAGTTGCTCCAGCAGGCAACCTCCTCCAGCAACCTCGGAGCCTTCAGCGGGATCCAGCAGATGGCCGGTGAGTCCAAAGAAAAGTAGATAAACCTTCACTGTCCCGCCATTAACGACGGGAACGGACCCTTTGTTGCGCCTATTCTTTTCCACAGACTTCTGAAAGAGGACCAAAGAGCATAACAGATGAACTTGCGTGGTGCAGGAAAGACAGATCTCTGGCCTGAAGATTTATTAACTGTTGCTAAGAATTGTCTTGATCTTTTAATGAGGCCAGACCAAGAGTTGTGCCCTGGGCGTGTAACAGTAACACCGAGGCTGTGCCGGGGATGGATGAATCGTGGGTAAGGGGGGGGGGGGGGGAGAGAAAAGGGAGTGGAGCAAATGGGTGAAAGTGGGGTCTCATGTCGATATGTTTCACTGCAGACTGGCGCCATCTACTGCTCTCTTCTTCTGTCATCTGTACTAAGATTTCCGTTCAAGAGCATCTGCAGGTTTATGGCAAATTGAAGCCTTTTATAGATGATTTTTTTTAATTATTATTTATTCTACTATTTCAACAATTAGACAATTTATACATCCGACAAACAAACAGAATTAGTATAAAGTATAGCTTATACAGAGGTAGCCCTCCCGTTAGTCAACCAGTTGCAGGATAAAGAAAAAAAGATACATCAGTCATTAAATAGGCACACAGATAAACAACATTCTATATACATACACATACATATGTACACATATACATACACCTATTTCTAGGGTGAAAAGACAGTAATAAAGTAAAAAAAATACATTCCTACACGTCCATGTTCAGATAAGAAAACGGTTTCATTGGCACAATAATTTATTTTAATTTTTTAATTGAGTGATTAAGTCATTACAGGAGAGGGTAAGACAAATGCAGTGTCTAGTATAGAGAAAAGAAACATTTAAAATGTAATACAAAAACAAATGTCAAATTACCAATGGGGTCCAAAGCAACCTAAATAATACAACATGAGTTTAGACGTGTGTGTGTGTGTGAGACGTACAGTATAAGAAATAGGTTTTAGAGCCAGTTTAAAAAAGACTTAAATATATGAATGTGTCTATTTCGCAATGAATGGCCGGTGAAAGTTTCTCAAACTCTAAATGGGTTGGATAAGAGAAAGGACACCGAGAAATAAAGTGGTAAGGGACAGTGAAATTCTCCTAAGTGAAGCTGAAGCCATAAGAAATGCATAAATGAATTAACCCAGTTCTGTATTAATCCGAGCCTTGAGCGAGACAGGAAGACTCCTATTAAATGTTGAACAAGATAAAATCTCTGTATTTAAGTAATATCATTTTTGGGCTTTAAATGTAGGTTATTTAAGACTTCCAGGGACCCGTGGATACTCGCTTTCATCATCTCTGACTTCTTCTCTCTTTCCATTAAACTTTCATTTCTTTTTTCTTTATTTTAAGCCTCTTTTAGCAGGAACTCTTGCGCCTCCCACCCTCTCCCATCACACTTTCTTACCTCACCTCAACGCCTCCCTCCAGCCTTTCGCACTCTGTCTGTTCTCTCTCCTCTTCCTCTGTTCATCTGTGAGTTTCTTAGCAAGGTGTCAGCTCTTAATTCCACGCCGTTTAGGCAGTTAGTTAATTGCGCAGACACAATAACATTTTCTGAGTGTGATGGGAGTTTCTTAAAAGTGGCCGTCTTGTATCCTGCAGTTTGCTGTTCCCTTGAGTTACGACGCCTTGCCGTTTCCCTCTGGCTGATTTACATGTTTGCTCAGTGAGCTCAAACACGCATTTCCTTACAAACACACACTCGCACGGATAAATAGGCTGTGGGATTTGGAAGCGAGGGAGAGTGACGGTGTCTGAATCTGGAGATCTGTTGGTCGTCCATCTGCGAGAGAGTTAGCATTAGTGATTGGCAGGAGATGTGACACAGCTGAATGACATCTGGTCCCAGTCTTTAACACGAGGAGCTGCAGAGCTGAGAGGCCTCAATTACACCAATGAGCATTCAATTAGACGCAGCCAACGCCAGCACAGCGCTGCCATACAGGCTGTACACACACACACACACACACACACACACACACACCCACACACACACACACACACACACGCACCATCTGCACAGCCCGGATACTGTGATGTGGGGAGTAGATTCTATTTGTCTCTCTTTCTTTCTCCGTACGGCTCCACTTTATTCCTCTCCAACCCGGTTACTCTTATATCCCGCCTCCTCCTTTTTCTCCATATGACTGCCTTCAACGTTTATTTTCAATGAGGGAGATGACCTTTGACAAATGCAAGGAAGATTTGGGGTGGAGAAGCTTTGAGGAACGGGGAAGAAAAGGCAAAAGAAGAGCTGGAGAAACAGACGGAAGGGAAATATAAATGGAGGAAAGGGAAACATGGAAAAGAGGATGGGAAATGACAAGAAAATGAAGGGAGAAATGTGTCATTTAAGGTGAAAGGAAAAAGGAAAAGAAGTTAAGGAAATGTAACGGAAAAAGGACACATTAAATGAGTGAAAAGAAACCTTTAAAATATTTTGCTAAGGACAGTAAAAAAAGAGCAAAGCCAATGATAGAGGGAATAATGTGGGAGTAATTGAGAATCCAAAAGGAGCACTTAAAGCAAAGGAAAGGAAAGAATGCATCTTACATTTGGTGAAGAACAGACAAAGGAAGAGGTAAGGGACATGAATTAAGGTAAATATGAATGAAAGAAATGAAAGAAAGTCAAGAAAACTAATGAAATGTCAGTCGAGGTGAGGCGAAGTAACAACCGAATGGCTCCACAGGGACTATTTGTTTACGTTATAGTGAAAGGCTTTTTCTCCTTAAATGTTTTAGTGGGTCGATCTGCGCCTCTGTGGTCAAACCCAGCAAGGGGGAAATGGCAGTGAAATAAAAATGGCTTTTATATTATAATAAAGAGACATGAAGGAGCGCTCGTATAAACAGCCGGCTTCTCTCAGCGCAGCTCTGCAGCCGGCTGCTCGCTCATGTGGAGCGTTTCAGAGAGAGAGAGGGGAACACGGTTGGAATTAGTGCGCGATTTAAACGTGCCATCACAGGAGGAGAAAGAAACAATGATAGCGGCTGTTTTCTTACCTTGCGTAGAAGTAGAAATCCATTTCAGCTTTTGATGTGTCACAGAGAATTGGAGAAAGTCGCTTTGAGAACAAGATTGGTTTTGGCTCTGATGTATAAGTAAGCACAGATTAGTTAAAAAAAGTCACACACACAAGTGCTCATTACAGCAGGCATACACACCCGGGGAGAAACAGAGCATTTAGAAACTGGCAGTGGCCTTCTTCCACATGTAACCAACCCTTGTGTGAAATGTGTCTTTGCTTGTGTTAAGGCATTATGGCATAACATGTGGGTGTTGTGAATTTGGAATGTTAACCTCAGCTTGTATATTAAATCAAACACTCACACAAATGTCCTCATTGAAACTTATTCAAACCAATATTTTGAGCAATTACACCATAACATCATGGATTAAAAGATATCAAGCTTTCAATCTAAAGCCCTGATTGAAAATGATTGTTTGTAATATCTTTCAGCATATTTAGCCTAACTTTGATACGTGACATTTATTTAGATTTCTTTGACTGTGTCCTTATCAAAATAAACAGTCTTATAAAAGATTAAGGTATGAAATTGACTGAAAATGTGACTCTTATGATCAGAACTGAAATTGGTTGAAAGATGTAACTCAGGGGAAAGGAAAAATGATATAATATATATGAATATATTGTATTTTTACGGTACTGTTTTGGTTGGTTTTGGCTTGAGGTAAGCACAGATATGTTAAAAAAAAGTGTACATGCATATAACAGCAGGCATACAAACTCGACCATATAGAAAGTGGCAGTGTTCTTTTTTTAAATATGTATTTAACCAATGAAAAGTGTGCATCCCAGCGATGGATCCAGCCAGTTGTTGTTATTGGCTGCGTCCACTTTGTATCCGGGTGAAGGAAATATCTGTATTTGTACATGGATCTTCTTCTTCATGGTGTCTTGTTTGTGTGTGTCTACTTGTATGTGTGTGTGCGTGAGTGTGTGCGTATTCCCATGGTACTGTATATACACTCAGGCTGTATATACGACACATACACCTCACATTGACAGTGTCCGTCCTCTAATTCTAACCAGCTCAGTGGAAGCTTCCTGTGGTAAGAACTGGTGACTGATTCTGTTTCCGCTTTATGAGCGCCTGCCTCATAATTTTCACACACTTGCATAAACACACACACATCCACTGAATGAGGTGAAAGGTTTAGTTGTTCGCACAGAAGGTGTTTTATAGCCTTTGCTTCGCCATCGTTTGGGTGTTGGCATGTAGTCATTAATTATGCTTAAGTACAGGCCCGTATGCTAATGCCAGCAGGCAGATTAACAATGTGCAGAGTTCAGCCTGCAGGTACTACAGCGGTGCTGAGTGGGGCACAGTTTAATATTTATTATCTGTATTTTTAAAGCTAAAAGACTCAATAATGGGCCACTGTGACTAGAGCATGACTGATGTCGACAGGAGGCCGATTATTGCTGATATAAATCACACCAGCCTCTTCAATTCAAGTGTAAAATACATTTTTATTTTATTATGGATGCACAGATTTATTTCTGGAATACCTACATTTTTTCACTTATTTTGGCTGGTACCAGAAACACCATATTTGTTCCACCTAATTGCAGATAACAAAGAGTCTCTTAGAATGGATTTATAATACTAAGATGCTCAATTGTATCTTGGAGGACAGTGCTTTTAAAAAGAATCAAATTCTCCAGGAAAAATAAGGAAACTATTTAACTTACTTAAGTTACATTTAAAACATACTTATAGCCATATTTATGGAAATGTTTAATTGATCTGAAATGTCGATATTAAAGTCAAAGTAAGTCAAAAGCTACCACAATTTTTTTAAACAAATTGACCAGAGTTCCTCTGAAAGGCACATGTTTGTTTGCTATCCCTTGACAGATGTTGGTACGGCTTCCATTTAATACAAAATACTACATTTTCTATAAGCCTCAGGAGTTCCACATCAGTCAAGCTCTAATCATCGCCCAGTTTAGTACATGTGTCGATGTTTAAAGACCATGTCAATTGTATTTATCGCTGAGAAGATTTCATTTGATAACGAGACCAGGGAGGTTAGAGTCTTCCTGTATTTCTCTAGCCTTCTCCACGGAGCTTTCCCTGGAAAGAAAAATATAAGTTTAACTAAATCACTGAGATTATTTTTGGCGCCAGAGCAGCTCAGAGAAACACACCAAACCTCAACACTAGAACAGCTGCTTTTACTGATTTAAATACATTTGGGACTTGTTAGCGAAATCAGCTGCTGTAGTTTGCCTTCACACACTGCAGACTCTTCACAGGGGCGAAAAAAAACACTATTTCCAGGCACATACACTCCTCTGTTATTCCTCCGCACATGAAGCAGCTAACTCGTCCTCTGGTGCTATGTCCCGGTCCAGCTACGGCTCAGCCTCCCTCCCCAGGTTTGACCCCACCCTCTCTGGCTCCTCTCTCCAGGTATGAGTGCTCTGCAGTTGCAGAACCTGGCCACTTTAGCAGCGGCAGCGGCGGTGGCCCAAAACTCAGCCAGTCCCTCCAACGCAAACCCCCTGTCAGCCAGCGCCGCCTCCCTGGGAGCGTTGGGCAGCCCAGGTAACACCGCAGTGACTCAGGTCGGGGGGGGGGGGGGGGGGGGGGTCCGACGCCGGGGGGGGCCAACGCCTGCCTCCGCTCTCCACCGTTACCATTGTTGTCGCCCCGGCACTTCCACCGCCATCACTGAAAACCATCAACCAACCGAAACATCTCCATTGTTCAGACAGCCCGTCAGTGTTCTTTCTGGCACATTCCCATGGTGTGTGTATCCACCGCTTCTCAGACCTCCATCTCCATAGAAACCATGCTGTGTTATCGATGCACCGCCCACCTGCGTCCTCAAACTCTCTCACCAACACCATCCTGTCATACACACACTGTATATGTGTGCGCGTGTGCATGTCTGTGTGTTCTGTGCTTCAATGTTTTCTGTCCGGTTCAGATGTTTCTATTTTTAATTATTTGTTTGTGCTTCACAGAAAACGTTAGGTCGGCAGATTTGTTGTTTCGGGGTTTGTTTGCACCTGTATGTGTGTGTGTTGGTGTTTTTTGGGGGGGTTAAAGAACTAGTAGGTTGATGTCTGAACTCGGCGCAGGTTAAATATCCTTCCTCTTTCTTCCCACCCTGCCTCATTCTCTCCTCTCCTTGTGTTCCTTCTCGTTGCCCTCGTCTTTTCGCTTTTGACAAGCCTCCCTGTTTCTGCTCCATCATTCTCTCTTTATATGTCGGCGGGGCCTCGCTCCAGCGGCCGTGGTTTTGCCGTTACTTTTGGAGCGCACTCCCAACAGAGCATGATTATGAAAAGCTCCCACACCTCACACCTTCCTCCTTCACAGAGTGGTGCAGTAATGATGTGTTATTGTGGGCTGCCCCGTAAGTTCAGAAATCAGAAATCCTTTTGTCCCGCAACTGGGAAATGTACATTATTACCAGAGCAGATAAAGTGAGGAGAATAGACTTACATATTACAAAAACGAAAAATGACTAAGTATACACCTGTTATTAATAACACAATAAGTAAAAAAACAAAAACAAAATGGTACTGTAGATAAAGAACCAGTGCAAACAGTGCAGGTTTGGCGTCCATGTTTCGACCAATAATTTAGAAAAGTATTTACAAAAGAGTCTGACAGAAAGTTCAATAAATAAAGAAGTAAAATACTCAGCGGTGAGTAGGAGCTGTTTTAAAAGACTGCCAGACGAGCGGCGCTAGAAAAGTTAGCATCGCAATGGCTCCCTTTTTTAGGAATATTGCCGAAAATCAGCTTGGTGGCAAACACACGTTGATGATACTTACACGTTTTGTTCAACAGGACATTTTAACAAAACTTTTCGGAAGCCTAAATGAAATTGGCTGAAGTAAGAAGCGTTAACGTTAGGCTATAAAGGAACTACAGCAATGTAACATGACTTCACATCACCACTGCTCAGTGGCGAGCCCCCCCCTACGCATCAATGACAGCGACCCTCTACCACACAAAACAACACCATTTATATAAACACCTATCATGACAGGGCACCCACAGCCAAGTAACAATTACAAATGAATGAAGTCGGCACGGCGGCCCACATTGAAAATGACTTAGGCCTACCTTTGATGATCAAATCACTTAAACACAAAGTCCATCCTCCTGTCCTTTTGGATGAAGCACTTGATGGCGGGGTCATGCAGCTGATCCTTTGCCACTCCAATTTATCATTGTAACTCAATCTTGAAAATGACTCGGTTAATAATTTCACAACGATGTCATCACTATCACTGACATGAGCCATCATGAACGAACTTATGCTAATCATAAATCTATCGATCATAAATCTATCGATTAGATTTATGATTCGAAGATTATAAAAGTAGGGTAGACATGTGGATATTATCCGGCTGAACAAAACGTGCATTTATCTAACAGGTTCGTTCCACAGACCTTATTTCGAGCTATTTTCCAAAACCCTATGGAGAAATCCCATTGCTTTTTTGTCGAGGGAACCCGAGCGCAGCTTACTTCCGGGTTTTAGGACGCGTCACTGCACCACATGTATAAACCTCACAGCGGGCGGAACTTGTCATAAAGTCCGCGAAAATAAAGCCCACCCATTTAGAGGGAAGATATGATTGGTCAATTGTACTGTCATTTGACATTACTCTCTCATTGAGTTACTATAGCTGGCCCTCTGTGAATTTACAGCAGGACAGTAACTCGCAGAGAGGGCCAGACGAGCTTCTTTCATTTAACCCTTCACATTCCAACAGAAACTGAACAGGCAGATTCAAAGGATTTATTTCTTTGGAAATGTTATTTTAAATACAATTAAATCAAATTATTTTTGGTAAAACTAATGATAAATATTCATTTTTTAATGTTTTCAAATATTATTTTTTAGAATATCTTAGGCTCTCCACTGCGACTGCTAAGCTAAAGGCGGCTAATCTTCTTTGCGACAACGTTACGTACGTTTCAGTATTTACTGAGGCTTATGTAACTCAGACCTTATTTCAAGCCTCTAACCAGAAACCACTCAAGAAAACGTTGAATTTAAGCCGAGGGAACTGGAAGTGGTCAAATGCTGACTCATATCTGGGTTTTAGGACTCATTCCTGCACCACTCTCTTAACGCTGCTTCTACATCCCACTTCTTGCCCCCATGCACCTTCTTGTCTCCTTTTTTCCTAAGCTCAATCTCTCCACACTCCTCACCTCTTCTCTTTTATTCCTCCACCTCCTCCTCTCTCTGACTCTGAATGTCAGTCCAACCTTGAATAGTACACTCTCAGGTTGAGCAGTGTGAATGAGTGGCGTTCTACTGCATGTGTCAGTGAAAGTGAAAACGTGATAAACATAGACAGTTCTGCATGGAGACAGGCAAGCATTTTTGTTTTTCTGCACCATGTGGCGACATAACGCTCCCTTTATCACACCATGTCTTCGTGTATTCAGCAGCAATCCTGCTTTGTTGGCTTCGCTTTGATGAGATCAACGGTAAATGGAGAGATTACATTTTATTTTGTCAGGGAAACAGAACGAGGTTGCGAGCTTTGTGCACCATATTCTCCCGCCATCTCACCCACCGCCACTGACATAGCAGTTCATGTGTGGCACACATTTCACGTTGGTGTGTGTATGTGTGTGTGAGTTTGTGTCCACTGTGTTGAATTGTGTGTGTTTTGGTGATTTAAACTGTGCTCTTGAAAAAGCCCATTAAATATTCTGTAAATAAGAGAGAATTCGAGTAGTTTCACACTTTCCGAAAGATTACTGTTAGCATACAAAGTCTGTGCTCTTGCCTTTCTGTACATATGTCTGCTTTTTTTGGATGGTCCTTGTGTTTTTTTAATGCTATTACAGCATCACTTTGAATGCAGCACTCTTTCAATTCATCTGTTTTTGTGAATATCTTTTACAGCTGTATTCTCTGTGTTTTTTATCTTTGTATAATTGTGTACACAGGATAGTTATATTTTGAAACATCAGTGTACCTTTTGAATCTAGGATCTTAGAACCGTAAAAGACTGGGATCACTGTGGAACAATTGGCTGCCCTAAGTTCACATTTCCCTTGAACTCTATCGCTAATAGAAAGGGAGATGTTTTATAAAGGATGAACAAAGAGTTGTTCATTGACAGCCTGCGAGCATTCATGTTCACTATGAAAAGGCTGTAGCTCGGCTTGCACTGAAAGAAAAGAGTTCCTGCAAATATCTAACAACAGATCTAATCTCGGAAACTAGAAAACATAGTATAACCTCTGCCTTCGATGCAATTTAGCTTTGTACTTTTGCTTTATACGTAGGTTTTTGTCCGCACATGGATTCAGATCTGCATTAAATGTAACAATAGTAGTGGTACAAATCCTATTGATTGAAGTAGTGCTTTGTTGTGAACATTGAAATGTGTCTTGCTTATGCAGCACTATCTAAAAGAATAATCAAGTAACTAGTTGATAAGTACATTTGCTTTCTAAATGTAGATGTGATGGCTATGCAAGCTTTCAGCCACTTAGAAACTAATTATGTGAATGAAAGCCTACATTATTCTTTTTGGAATAATTGAGCACGATATGGTCCAAATGTGTCAATATTGGTTTCCCTTTGTAGCCAAAACGTAGAGTTCTCCAAAAATAAATGGTCAGAAATCTTTTAAGGCTGAAGAATTAGTCGATTTTTCTTCAACTATAAATCCAAGAAACTTGCAGAACTTTGCGTCTACGTCCCTCTGTTTCAAAGTGTTGTGGTGTTATCTCTATCTAACCTATTCTATAACACCAATAGGCATTGAAGTGTTTGACATGTTGTGATATCCTACAAACAAAGAAAACTAAAGTATGAAGGCAAATAAAGGCAGCCAATCTTCTCCGCAGTGATTTCAGTTGATTGCATTCCAAACACGAATATTTCAGATAAAGATAAATTCTGCATAAAATCTATAAAGACGTTTTTTAAGCCCTTACCTCTACAATAGGAACCTTGTTGAAGCTTGTATAACACGTCTGCTTCTTTTTTCTCCTACTCTCCCTCTTCACCTCCGTCCTCTTTACCTTTGTCTCTACCTACCCTCCCTCCTTCCTCTCCCTCCTTCCCCTCCCTCCCCCCGCTATATCCCTCTCTTCCCGAAGCACCGGGCCCAACAGCAACCTCCAACGCCAGCGCCATGAACTCTCTGACCTCCCTGGGCACCCTGCAGGGCCTGGCAGGCGCCACCGTCGGCCTGAACAACATTAATGCACTAGCAGGTAGCGTCAATAGTGAGTATTCACCCTGCCATCAGCGACTCCACCCACACCTCCGCTTACCTCCATCCACACCCATCTGCAGCAACGCAACACACACTGTGAGCCCATGCAGAGAGACGCAGCGGTACAGCTCCCGGCACATTAGAGTTCGACAAATGTGGGATTTTGAAGGCTGTAGCATGCGATTTTCTTTTTGAAAACTGAGAATTCCTCTTTTTTTAGCTTTCATTTTGAGAACTTTTAAGAGAAGAGAACTACAAATCTTAATAAAACCCATTTTAAATTGTTTTATTGTTAATAAATCCTGCAGAATTTCTCCTGGATTTTATCTAAATGATATGAAGGCCAAAAAAACAATGAACGGATGTACAGAGTATATCACAGTATAAATTAAAATCAATTTTAATTATAGTAAATATACTAGTTCAGTTTAGTTTGTGGGTAAGATTTGATAATGTATCCATTTTCGTAGACTACGAATTGAATAATTTCCTCCATTAAACACCTACATTTTCTAAAAATGAAAGACAAGGACAACGGAAGGAACTACAATCAAAACCTCACAGAGTTTGGTTCTGCTGTCTTCTCTCTGCAACTCAATTGCACTTGACTGTAATTTGTTCTTACTTGCTCAAATCCGGCTACATCCTCCACTCACCTGGCAGAAGATCTTCATTCCATTCATCCATTAATCCTTCTCTCCATCCGCTTCCTGTTAGTGTCCTTGGTGCTGCTTGCTGAAAGAGCGCTGGTGTCTTTGTTCCACGTCGTGTTGGTTTCTTGTTCCATTGATGGTTTTTCTGCCATCTCTACAATAACGATTAACTTTAAAGCGTGTATTAAATATTTGACCAATACCCTGACCAATACAAAGTAAATATTACCATTTTGATGCCAAAAACGCTGGCTGCTCCTTTCCAGAAAATACAAATTATCCTGCCAAAATATTTTAAATTATACACCTTTCTTATAATATACAATTATATTTAATTTTGTGGTCGAATAAATACAAAACCTGACCATTTTCATGACATCAATACAAAAGTGACTCGTTTTGTGTAAGAACAACACACTACACAACACACATTTTCTCCCCATAAAGTAACAAACATGGGCATTTCCGTGCCTATAAATGTTTTCATTTGCATTTACAAAAAGTACAAAAGTCTAGCATATAAATCAGCTTATACTTGCCGAACAACACTAAGGTTTTCTTGACCAAGTAACAAAGAAATTACAATTTTCCTCCCATAGTAGTTTTATAATAGGAGGTGTTTGCAGGGCAAAATAAGTGTCTGCATGTTGATGATTTACTGCTTTGACGCAGAGCAGATGCATGTTTTCTATCATGTTTTGAGAGTCGTGCGGACTACGCGGCTCGTGCGGCCTGACGTTGTGTTTTGAGTGTGTGTCCTGCCTTTGACCTCCGGGGAGACGAGGCTGGGATCTTAATCAGAGCTGTTATTACAGCAGAGATCCTGTACCACCGGCCTCTTCCACCACATTATTCTCCTCTGACCTTTAGCGCTCCTCGGCTGTATCCGCTGTGTAAATCAGATACGCGTGTACTCAGGCGCACACTGGTACAGACACACACACACACACACACACACACACACACACACACACACACACACACACACATGCTCATCCTTTTAAACAGAACTGGTCGCTTTCGTTTTGTATCCCATTTTGTCCCGGCTAACCCTTGTCTCCGCATTGTGCACCCCCTCTCGTCCATCCACGCTCCACCAACCATCATTTGAACACATCTAGGCCTTAATTGAATTGCAAAGGTCACCAGTGCAATTATTCCTGAATAAATGAGTGACCTATAATCCGAAGCTCTGCGGTGATAATTTATTTCACTGTGTCTGACGGTGAGGCGACAGGACGCCGAGCCAATGTCAGACCCCCTCAGACAAGTTGCCCTCCGCCGTGATATTAAGCCGTTACAAGCAGCTAATGAGTGTTACTGCTGCGTTCCTTCACTTTTCAAACCAGACTTACACCCCCCCCCCTCTCCCTCCCTCTGCGCTCCACGTGCCTGTCTTCAGACCCAAAGTGAGACGTCACAGGCTGGAAACAGCACATCAGTGATTGGATTTTGGCAAAATAGAAGGATTATGTGATATTTGGTGAAGTTGAACCATAATGGGATGTAACACGTCAATACCAATACATATAATACGGCATTTAAAATAACATTAAACTAATACATCCATAAAAATGTATCTGTGTTTTTATTATCTTAAAAATTGAACGGACAAATGACTACTGTGGATTTAAATGTAATCAAACTAAGATAAGCATGAGATACGGTTATAATGATCAGCTGTGACAGAAAATGAATATTGATTAAAATAAAAAAGTTAATGAACTCACAATAGACATTGGTAAAAATATTTCTCAAGAAATGGACGCTACTTCACTACCCTTAACTGTTTTCTTTGAGTGTGTCTTTTTGTTTGTCACTGCTAGCTTCTGATTTAGAGTAAACCTGTGTGCAGCGCTGGCTGTCATCAGCTGTAATTTAATGTTAAAAGTATAACTTTGTGCGTCCCGTGTTTACAGTTTAATGTCTGTCTATGGATGTGTCTTCTGTGTGTGACGTTTACAGTAAAGTCTTTGTATGTGTGTGTGACGTCTGGTAATGTTTGTGTGTGTGTGCTAATAACATAACCTAAAATGGGAGCGTTAACGAGTAAGTGCACTCTTCTTTCTTTATTGTTGGGTTTTATGTAAAGTTGCTCAAATGCTCTCAGGTATGGCGGCACTTAACGGAGGCCTGGGTGGCGCAGGGTTGACCAATGGGACGGCGGGCACCATGGACGCGCTGACGCAGGCTTACTCAGGGATCCAGCAGTACGCCGCCGCCGCGCTGCCCACCCTCTACAGCCAGTCCCTGCTGCAGCAGCAAGGGGCCGCCGGCAGCCAGAAGGAAGGTCAGTAGCCCGGGGCCACGAGTCTGCACATCACTGCTGCTCAGTGGGAGTCGGCATCGCAGTGTTTACAGCAGGAGGAGAAACTCAGAGAGAGGCACAGCAGACATTTAAACAAGCCTAGAATGATCCTTTTAATAAAAGTAGTGACAAATCAAGTTAAATATCATATCAGTGAAGTGCCACATACATTTTGTATAGTAAATATGTGAAGATACACTTTTTTAAATGGAGCAGAAGTGGAAAAACACCAGGATTTCTTTTTGTTTCCCACTCCCAAGTTTAGTTTCCTGCTAAAAGATAATATATTAATATAAAGATGTTTTTTCCTGACAATAATACTTAGGAAAACAGCTTTTGATGAAGTATAAATAAAAGCTGGACAGCAGGGTGCTTTTGTTTGAGTTTATTAAGGCTTTGTACTGTGGATTTATTTTTAATTAAGTCTAACACTATTAAAAAATATATTTAAGATATAATCAGATTTTCAGTATTGCTTCCCCTTTCATTTCTTTTACAAAAGATCAATTTGTTTATTAATGACTGGACCAAAGCCTTTTTTTACGTCAGTTTTTGAGGTATAAAATAGAGTGCATTTACCAGAAATAAAATATATAACTCAGTACTTGACAATTACTTTACTTCTTATTTGAAAGGAACTGCACAATAATTCTGTTCCAAAAAATGTAACATTTAGTAAAGAGAAGGGAGCATTTGTGTTTTATAAGACCTCTCTATGAATATATTGAAAACAGTCTACATACCAGTTATTTTGCAAAGTACCACCCCCAAACAGAACCTGGCAGTTGAATTGAAATGCTCACTAAAGCTTTTAACGACATTGTTGAATACAAAACAGATGATCAAATGTTTTGTAAAACAAATAGAGCCACGTTTGTTCGTCCATTTCTCATCTCTGCATCCAACAACGATTCATTTGTAAAGACTCTTTCTTTCTTCGACAGTTCAAAACCCTGCAGGAACACAAAGATGTGACAGGGTTCATTTAGCAATGAAGAGCATATTTAATGATTGGGAGAGATCTAACCTAATAGGAACAGAATGTGTAATAAAAAGAGGGGGGTGACCTGCAATAAGACCCCTCTTAAGAGAGACGGCGCACAGCAGAAAGAAAGAATGAATCAAAAGCGACATTTTCACTGGAGAGTGGAAATACTGTTATTAAATGAAAAGCATTCATTTTTGTTTAATGTTCAATACAATTGGAGAATGTTGTTTAAAAGCAATAACAAACCCAAGGTCACGCCGTATTATGCGTCGGCTCTGTTCCTATGACGACAGCCACAGTGTGTGCTGCCCTTCCTGCCAGTGAAAGAAATGACCTCACACTCGCTCTGCATGTCCCCCCCCCCCCCCCCTTCAGGTCCCGAGGGTGCCAACCTGTTCATCTACCACCTGCCCCAGGAGTTTGGAGACCAGGACATACTGCAGATGTTCATGCCTTTTGGAAACGTGGTCTCTGCCAAAGTCTTCATCGACAAACAGACGAACCTGAGCAAGTGCTTCGGTACGTGTCACACACATCTGCAGATATCTGTTGCTTCTTTAATTGCTCAGTCCGCATTCGGGATGGAACTTTTGGATGACTTTTTTGTGGTGGAACATTCAGTAACATGTTTATCTTCGCAGTCCATTTAAGAAAAATCATCCTGACTCTGTGAATCATACTACTAACTAAACTTATATTCGAAAACTCAACCTAACAAAATCTAGCTACATTCACAAGCATATACACATTTGCATATGTGTTACAAATAGGTTATCATTAATTTATTCATAATATTATTTGCATTATTTAAAAAAGAAGTATGGCCTTTAAATGTATTTTTATGGTACTTTATATCTGCTACTGAATATGAAGCTCTTTTGGCATCACTTCCTGAAGAAGTACCTCTGGAGTCCCATGCTCTGTCCTATTTACGCTTTTCTATGGGTATTTTTAATTTATATATGAGCAAGAAATAGTTTTAGAACAGATTTTAGAAAACAAATGGCAATGTATTGAAGTCCAATGTCTTTATTTTCTCCAAAATTAGTACTAAATTATTCTCTCCACCACATTAAGCAGGGAATTATCAAGTAATTACAGGACCAGTCCCATTAAGCATCACTCTAAATGACTAATTCCTGTAATGAATGACCACTCAAACCCAAACTCCAAGATAGTGAGGGTTGCAAAGGACAAACTGTTGTTGTTCTCATTATTCAGGTCAACATTTGGCAGATACAAGAATGTAAAGACAAATCTAAGATTGATAGAGAGCCACGTTAATTCAAGCTGATAAAATGATCCCCTCCTGGACTGGGACAAGTGACGTATTTAAACCTAGTACAACAATTCTACCCTTTTGGCTTGTAAGCTTCAATTTTAGGGTGAAATGGATTGAAATGATTTCCTGTGCCTAGCATTTGTCCATGTTGACAACAAAACCTAAATATAATGCATCTCCATTCCTCATGTAGCAGCTCAGGGAAAAAGGAATAAATCAAGCATGAATGTGGTATACAGCAGACAAACAGACAGCAGTGATACTTGACAGAAAAATGCATCGCGAGGACAGCTGCGAGACAAGCGAGACGAGTAGTTCACTGTCAGGTTTCAGCTCCAGATTTTACAAGAGGAAGTCAATCGTGCACATACTGTAGAAGACAGCAAAAACATAAAATACAACATAACTTCCCCTTCTGCTCCAAAACCTTTACTCTGAAATGTTGACCAACAGTGACCTTTGTCAAGCTGTTGATCAAAATGTTGGTGGTTGAATGTTTGTGGAGTTGTGTTTTTGTGATATCTATTTAGGATTCCTAGTATTGTTTTAAGGATTTTGCCGAATCATGCCTCACAAATGTCATTACACCCCCCTATTTGCTTTTCTATTATGTATATTGCGTTTGACTTACAGTAACTCTAATAGCTTTTTTAATGCGACAACCCCTTTGGGAGTCATTACATTTGAATCTTTCTTATTGTGTACCAGGGGTTTTATGTAAAGTATATGTAAACCAGATAAATCAGATCTGGAGACAAAGAGATGTTGAGAGTGCCTCTTGTAGTATTTTACCAGTTTATTATAACACAATTATTTATAAATGTATAACCAAGACTCATTCTATAATGGTCTCTGTCTGCATTTCATTTTAGTGTCAGGAAATCTGCTACAAAGAGAGAAGGCATAACAGACAAAACAGACTTGCAGAAATGATAATGTTAGATACGGAGCAATGAGGATTATTGGAAATTCGTTCTTCATTTTAGGGGATGCAAGCAAAAACATACAACTCTCATTACGCCCTCCATCTATACTTTTTCTGCGGCTTGTCCAGGTCTTGTTCACCAGCTTAGTTGCCTCCATCTCGGCAAGATAATAATTAAACATGTTTCTGACCTTATAGTATTTGCTGACACAAGCTAGTAATCTGTTAGCCAACAGGTTAGCTAATTTTCACAATCCAGCTCTTGACTTTACTTAGCCCATTTAAAAAAACAATATTCTATAAAATGATTTATTGGAGCTAAAGCTAAATGTCCAAAGGTACGTTATCCGGTAAACAAAAAACAATTCCTCTACACTCTCTATGCATCAAACACAGTGGCGAGCCGTGAGCTTTATACCTAGGCCCTCTGACCCCCACCAATTCCCTCGAAAAAAAGAAAAAAAAAGAGTTATTACGTCACAGCGTATACTTCAGCGGAATATCAAAACAACGGCCCAGGGTGCAAAACGCATCAATGACAGCGACCCTCTACCACACAAAACACCTGTGAACCCCATTTGTGTTCTTTGACATTGAAAATGATATTGCATTGTGTTTGTTACTTTCGTTGCAGTTGTATGTCTTAAGTGTAATTTGGCATGCTTTTATTTTGAAGGCGAGTTCACGCTGTTGACAGGAAGTTGTTGTTGCTATGGAAACAAGAAAAGTTTCACAGCGGGCGGAACTTGTCATAAAGTCCGCGATAATAAAACCCACCCATTTAGAGGGAAGATATGATTGGTCAATTGTACTGTCATTTGACATTACTCTCTCGTTCAGTTACTATAGCGGGCCCTCTGTGAATCGCAGAGAGGGCCAGACGAGCTTCTTACATGTAACCCTTCACATTCAACAGAGACTGAACAGGCAGATTCGAAGGATTTATTTCTTTGGAAATGTTATTTTAAATACAATTAAATCAAGGTTTTTTTCGGTAAAACTAATGAAAAATATAACAAAAATAATATTAAAAAAATATATATTTAAAAAAAATATATTTTTTTTAAATGTTTTTAAATATTATTTTTTAGAATATCTTAGGCCCTCACAGAGCCCTGACGGCTCGCCACTGATCAAACAGTAATACTTATAAAGGTTAGCTAGCTAGCTAACAGTGGTGACATCCGGTGAGGGCACATTAGCCGTGTGCAATTTGAGACGCCACTACATGGTGGAAATGTACGCACAGCTCAAGTGTTCACAGAGCACAACATGACAGTGAGTGTACTAAGAAATATATCCAAAATGAGACACTGTAAGTCAAATAATAGCATACTAGCTAGGTCCAGCAAACCTATTTTATAACTTTTTTAAATAATTGAATGTTTTAAGACACTTAATGTTGCAAGTTTAATGCTAGTAGGAACAGGAACTTCCAATGTCAAGTTTCATATCGGCTACTTTTTCACCAACTCTCCACTTTTCTCTGGTTTTCTCAGGCTTCGTCAGCTACGACAATCCTGTGTCGGCGCAAGCAGCGATCCAGGCCATGAACGGCTTCCAGATCGGCATGAAGCGGCTGAAGGTGCAGCTGAAGCGCTCCAAGAACGACAGCAAACCGTACTGATCTTAGCACTAGGGTCTATCTGCTCCCCATGTTAGCACTGCTAGGGTAAGTCCCCCAATGAAAGGTGAAAATGACAAACAAAAAAAACAGCAAACCGAGCCACGACCTCTCTGTACAGGGACTGGGGGGGGGGGTGGGGGAGGGATGTGGGAGGGATGTGGGAGGGAGGGGAAGACGACCTACAACCACCCTGAGGGAGACACACACGCCTTGTTTATTTTTTTTCTTGCTTTTTTGAAGATTTTTGTGTTAGCTTTCAAGTATTATAATTTATTACACTTTTTTTTGACACACATGAACGCTTCCATTACCGCCATTACTTTGTGCAATTTATTTTCTTTTTTTACAATGGAACGAAGTAGCTATCTTGGGTAGCTTTTCTAAAATGTTGTTTCTAATTTTTTTTATTTCTCAATGATTATTTATACATTTTTGAGGACTAGTTACACTGAGGTAAAGACAAAGGAGCCATGACGATTTTTAAACCTTTTTTTCCCCACTCTCTCTCGTTGAGGCCTGGCAAAGGGTTCATTTTCATTTTTACACGCATGCCGATATGCACATTCGACCTTTGACCTCCGGTGTTGGGTGCAGGCCGCCGCTGCTTCTCCCCTCTATGCCTGTTGGCAACCCGGGAGCAAAGGCTGCAAAACAGTGGCCTCTTTACACTATAGTCAGTTACACTCCACCAACAAAAGAAGAAGAAAAAGCAACACTAGCACCTTATTATTTATGTGAAAAAATACAGTTTTTTATTTCTCAGAAGGTGACAAAAAATAAATAGTAACTACTTTTCTGGGTCAGATCACATTGGTCTTTGTTGTGAAAATACATATAACAGCATTTTCAAAACAACATCCAGAATTTGATGAAGACTATAATGATAATTCTAATAATATAAGAGTTTATGGGTTACGGTGGTAACTGCAAATACTTGATGTCTGTTGAGAGATTTAAAAAATAATTCAAAGTACAGAAAGCCACAGGCCTGTAAATTTTATTTGTAAAAAAAGCAGTTCTATTTTTATACAACATTTGTACTGCCTCAGATAAAAAAAAGGATTTTATTTATTGCCTATCGTTAAGTTATTGGACTCCTATAAAGTATACAGCATCATTAAAGTAGACCCTTGTGGAGAAGTCTCGTGGAATTTGGGTTCTACTGTGTTTTTTCATGTTTTTTTAGTGCAGAAACCACAATCACAACACACTCCGCTGCCATTCAAACCGCAACCCCCCCCCCCTTCCCTCCCTGTGTCATTTATTCATTCACACACTCTGTGCTAATCGTTCATCCATCCATCTCTCTTTTTTCCCTCTCTCCATCCATAGTGGGACTACTTCTTTACTTGTCGATTTTCTACCTTTGTCCTCGCAATTTTTTACTTTGAGTGTTTGCGTTTTTTGTTTGTACGTAGCCCCCCCCCCCCTTACCACACCCTTACACAGATTTAGAACATGTAAAAAAAGGAAAGAAATTTGAAGTCTCCCTTCCCCCTCTCCCTGAAAAAATATGACTATTTTCTCCCAAATGACAACATCCATCTGGGATCTGATGGATAAAGCTTTGGGTGGTCTCTGTTTTGTGTGTGTGTGTGTGTGTGGTGTGTGTGTGTGTGTGTGTGTGTGTGTGTGTGTGTGTGTGTGTGTGTGTGTGTGTGTGTGTGTGTGTGTGTGTGTGTGTGTGTGTGTGTGTGTGTGTGTGTGTGTGTGTGTGTGTGTGTGTGTGTGTGTGTGTGTGTGTGTGTGTGTGTGTGTGTGTGTGTGTGTATTGTTAGCATGGACCTATAACATTATATGATAAAAAAAAAATCAAAGCTAAAAAATTGCCAATGTGAGTTGTGTTGCTGTTCTGCCGGTTTGCATTGTTGTTTGTTGTTTGTTGTTGTTGTTTCTCCTGATTTTCACAAAAATGCTGTAGTGTTGTGGTGCTCTGGCTCTCTTTGTGTAACTCTCTCCTCTCCCCTGTTTTTTCTTTCCCCCTTTTAGAACAACCCATCTCCATGCCTGTTAGCTCATCGTTTTGCCTAGCATGTCTCCGTGGCGTCCAAACAAAAAAAACTTTAAACAAAAACAAAAAAATCCCCTCCAAAAAAGTGTCATCGTCCTCCTCCCCCGTCATTGTTTTTTCTGATGTCTTTTCCGAGCTCACCTGATCATAACCTGGTTCTCCTCCTCCGTTGCCTACTGACCTTTTGAACTTTTAGCTTTTTTGGATTTTTATGATTTTCTTTCCCGTTCTTTTTTGTGTTTTTTTGCATGTGACCTCATTTGGATCTGTTTTCTGGGGAGGGTTTCAGGGAGGCAACAAGGGAGGGGAGGGCAAGAAAATTAATCAATGTGAAAAAGATATAAAGCTGCATTCATATGAAAAACAAAAAAGACTGAGATTTTTACGGAAAAACAAATGTTCTTTTTGGAAGAAAAAAAAACCTGTGGCAAAATGATTTCCATTCAGTATGTTTTCCTGCATTTTCTTTTGTTTCTTCTTCTTCTTTATGTCAGTTTTTCCTTTCTTTTATTCTTCATTTAAAGTAAACTTGAAAGTTCACTACAGGAATTGGCGCGTCATCTTGCTTCTGGCGCCGATGAAAAACAGTCCGCCAGAAGCAGTCCGCGCCAGTTTCTCTGAAAAATAAGACTACTTCCAAACAGTTTTGAATAAAAACTGTCTGATCAATATTAGACTCTCTCAGAGCTCTCCAATGGTTTTTACATTTTTCAGGCAGTGTAAAGTTTTTTGATAAGGCCATTTTAAGTGGCTCTGTTTCTCATTCAAAGTCTATATATAGAACCACTTTTTTCTAGAGTAGTTTAAAGGTAAAAATAAAAAAAGACATTTGCCCTGTTTGGGTGGGAGAAATGCTACCTACTTGTGTCACCTTTTGCTGAACTGACTCACAGATAGACAATCCGTGGTTTAAATGCACATGATGAAATGACCTATATTTTCTACTGTTTAAATGTATAGAGGAAAAAAAAATACTAAGATACTTGTAACCTGCGTTAACGTCGGTGCTTCTCGTGAGTTTAGTTGTGGTTTCATCACAAGTCTAACGGTCTTAAATGTCTCATGTTTTTCAAGAGAAGACAAAAAAATCAGTTTACTTGAACAATAGACAAAGCCTTTCATATTACTATAATAGTTACTTTGTTGATTTGTTTCTTTTTGTTTCTTCTTTTTTTAAGGAGTCCCTATTTGCTAAATTTCTTGTTGGTTAATTAGCTATATAAAATTCCTAAAAATATATATAAATATAAATATATCTATATATATAATGTCAGCTTGTGAAGCATCAATGTCATTATTATTTTATTTCTCTCGTGGGAAACAATATTTAGATGTGTTTTGTTGTTCAGCAAAATGTCTTATAATGAAAAAAAGACAAGATCAGTGGAGTTTAGTGCCAAATTCTGAAGGTACTTCCTGCCTAGCGCGTCAGTGTATTTCTTGTGAAATTATTTGATAACATGGGTATTTTATTATAAGTGTTTTGTATGGATCCCTCATATTTAAAAATATAGATTTAAAAAAGAGTTTGTTAACTTGCTATTCTGTGGTCTTGTTGCCTGAAAATGTCATGTTTGCTTTTTTTCTTTGTAAAGATGTAAAAAAAAAAGTGCCCATGTGTCATATATATATATATCTATATACACGCACACACGGACACACACATTCTCGTGCAGACCTCACAGTTTACTTTCTTGTTGTGCATGAGAGCCCCTGAGTGTGAACGCCTCGACAGCTACAGCTACCGCCCGCCAGCGTGCACAAGCACACTTTAACACACACGCACTGATATTTTTAGCCATTGTACAGCCGTTTTATTCATCAAAGCCTTATCACAAATGTTTGCACTCCTCTTCTCTCTCTATTAGTATCTCGCGCACACAGGCGTCACTTCGTATTGTTTGGATTGCTTTCTTTCGATTGGTTTCTCGCACTGTCTCGCTCCTCAGCCGAAAAAAATTAAATTGAGGTGAGAGTCATACGCCTTATTTCTCTAAAATCCTCTTCAGTTGAGTTGAAAACATTTCTCAGACGGCGAGGATCATTACTTTTGTGTATCACCTCATACGAGAATGCTAGCTTTCATGATGTAAGCACAGGGTAAGACTCACTCGCACAAAAAACGAAACTCGATCTCTTGAGGTAAGAAAAAAAATAGCACACGCCGTCGTCGGAAGAAAAAAAAAAGAGGCGGGACGTTCCGGAGCAAATTTGATTTCTTATCCTTTCACGTCTTTTATAAGTGGTTGTGAGACTACTCCATATGTGTGGTGTAATGGGCCAAAAATCATGTTTAGATGCCAAAGTGTGTTCTCGTAGTCGAGCCGTTTACATGGCACAGTGTTGTCAGTCGATTCAACTGCCCCCCCATCCCCCTCCCTGAAAGCCTAGTTTACGGTCTGCAAAAAAAAGAAAGAAAAGGCAGCATTATTTTCTACAGAAGCTCACCAGTCGCCTTAACCAGGGAGCGTCGTATCAGTATTACAAGAGTAGAAGATGTTGTCAGTGATGTGTGCCAAGTCTATATTCACTTGTGTGTGCAGTTAGCCTCCCACTCGTCAAAGTTTCGCTCTTTCCTCCGTGAAATGACCTCGAGGAAGGAAGCCGCTCTTCGTCTGCTTGTTGTCTCCCAAGCTAACCGGAGTTATTAGAAGCGGCGTCGTATTATTGGACTAGCGACAGGGGAAATAAAGCGCTTGTTGGTTGGAGAGGAAGGGTCACGTCCACACTGGCTAAACAACAGCCTGAGATGGAGGCTTTCATATCCTCAGACCCAAACTTTAGCGAGCAGACTTTTCTTTCTCCTAAATGCAGTACACATGAGCCACAAACAGCCATAACTACCTGTATGAAAGCTGGTTAATCAGTGTTAATGGACCACTTTTTTCTGACTCGCGCGTGTGCAGGGTTTCGCATCGTTTTTCGCTGCAGCATCTACGATTCACACCTCACTTTCGCACAATTCACGTAACTTTAATGGTGGAGGCTACACAATCTGCGTTACTCTATATGGCTGTATGTGCGGGTACAGGCGTTTTAGATGTCCCCCCAAAACAAATGTTGCCAAATCTCACAGAGTTGCACACAGCCTGACGTCAAGTGTGAAGCATCTTGTCTTTGTTTAAATGTCGAAGCACAAAAGGGTCGTAAAGCAGAGTTCCTGTGGAGCGGCTCACCTCAGGGGCTTTCATCGCCGATGCTCGTTGTAATCTTTCTATCTCGTCACTTCTCTGTTCTCCTTCTTTCTTAATTATCTTAAGTGCTATTTATCAAACAATGAAATTTGAAAAAAAAAAAAAAATGAACTTGTCGTTTCTTTGCATTATGGCTTATGTCAAGTTTTTTGAGGAAAAATGTTTTGTGTCTTTCCGTGACGTAAAAAAAAGAGCTTGTTGTCTGTAGAGATTATCCAATATTTTTGTTTTGGTTTGTTTCTTTTAATTCTCAAAAAGGTTTTCAGTAGTTTCAAATTGTCTTGAGAGAAGCCAAAGTCAATGCATTTCAGTGGATCCTGTAAGCGTGATGTATGTTTGTTTGACAACACTTGGAAATCTGTCACTGGATGGGATTTAAAAAGTACAAAAAATGCAGGCTTTCCTATTTCTACAACTGATTGTACTTATGCATTTTGTACCAGTGGAATTTTTTATACTGGAGATTAAAGGATACAACAAAAACATCTTAGAAAAAAGCTGTCTGGCCTGGTGGTGTGGCCTGACCCTGACTGGTCCCCGAGTTTGATTTCTAGCTGGCATCGAGAACGTTGGCTTTTGATATAAGATTTTCTAGAAGATCTTTGGCTTTATTTCTTTCACTTCTTTTTCCTCACTTGAGTGTTGTTCTTCCTTTCTGCCTTCCTTTCAGTCTTTATTTCTTTCTGAAAAACAGAGTGTAGGTGAGTGTCAGATCTTTCATTTTTGCTTTTTAAATAGTTCTAGCAAGTTTGTCTATACAACAGCGGTAAGTTTCATTTGACTTCTGTATTGTGCCGTCTACACGATAAGACAATTATAGAAAAAGAAGGTATAGAAATATTTAGTCACCTTCAGTGGATTAATGTATTAGTTTAATGAAGAGATCAACTAATTAGAACGTTTTGCTTTTAGCTGTTTAGATTTCTCCGGTTTCTCTGTCCTTCTCTGTGAACCAACTGTGTAGCTGAAGCAGTCAGAATTATTTTTGTAAACGTATGTTCTTGTGTGATGCAGTTTTTTGCTTCTGTCTCCTATATTAAACCATTTTTCCTAATACTTGTCTCTCTCTGTGTTGTTATGTTCCAGTGGCTGTCTGATGTTGTACTGTTTCACAACCTCTCCCTGCCATTCTCTCCTTTCTTCTCTTCTTTCATAGTCTCTCGCTCATTTCTATCTTTTACCCTCGTGTTCACATTTGTTTGTTTTTTACCACATAGTAAAGTTGACTCCATCCCCAGTGACAACTCACTATGCTGTTCTCACTAAACATAGTAAATATACATCGAAGTGTTTGTATGTATATTACTGTGTAGCCCAAGTCGCCTCGTGACAGTTCAGAAATACGTTGAAAAGAGCCAAACTTACCCCATATATAATATCAACAAAAATGGCACCAGTCAAAAGAAACACATTCACTTTTTTTCAGCTATAAAGGAATAGTTTGCCATTTTGGGAAATATGCTTTATCACAAACCGAGGATAAGATCTGTACCATGGACTCCTTTATACTGCTGCAGAGGAGAATAACATATGATGGGTAATTACAGATAGTTAATAAGATGTGTTATTAGTCAATGGTTCACCATTTGTACCTAAGCATTTGTTCCTTTCATAGTGACTTTACCGAGTTTTATTTGAATGAAAATATTTGAGTTTATTACTTGAAATTGACACAGAATAATGTGTATGTAAATACCTTATCACACAAACAACATGAGTGGTATTTATCTTCTCAGCTAACTTTCAGCAACTTTGTGAATTGTTCCCAAAATGTTGAATTATTCCTTAAAGGGCAGTTGTTTTTTTTCATTTTGTCTGACTTACAAAGCCCCTTTTCTTTTTATATTTCCACTGAGAATTGCAAACATTTGTTATTCTTTATTACTTTATTTAAGTGCTTGCTCTCAGCTGTTATCTTAGCTCACCCTGGATTTGGCAGATTATTTTAATAAGAGGCCGATTTTGATTAGGAAACGTATATTTGATTTATTGGCCGTAGTTAGGGTTCCCTCCTTAGGGGACGCCCCCCCCCACCCCGTGCTGTCCGCTGTCCTGGGCGAGGCCTGTCCACTGTATGTCCTTTTTGTGTTCGATTCCACTCCCGTACTGTCTAACCGTCACAACTGCATCCCCCCCCCCCTCCCCCGTACAGAGAGAGGAAAGAGAAGTCAAAGGTCAAAGTTTCACCTTTTCATTCACAGGTATCAAAGACGTGTGTTTCAATAAGATGTGGTTCTTTTTCTTAGTGAGAGATTTTCAAAAATATGTGTATGGGAAGATCGAGACAAAACTGGCTGCTTTTTGAAGGATATAATAATGAATCTGACCCCCTACCCTCACTCTAAACCGAAGCTAGAACTGTATATTTGTTATCTTTTATAACTTCATACCTCCAATATCCACGTTGCTGTACATTATGTGCTCTGCGGCACATTAGGGCATCTTTCCCTTTCATCGCTGCAGCAGTCCTCTAAGTCTGTTATTAAATATTGATTGTGAGGTTCAGGCAAGGCATATAATAAACTGCCCTCGGTCTGTGGAACCTGCCCATGGATAGATAATATTACACCTCTATTATTGTCAGCGTGTGGCCTGTACTGTCTGCAGCTCAGGATTTTTGTCCTAGATGTTTACTTTATTGTATTCCCTCATATAGAATCACTTTTAGAAAGCAGCCAGGGAGTTATGTGTATTCCGATGGTTGTGCACACATACAGTATTGAGGAGTTTGGTGCTGCTGGGGACAAAGTGAGTGTCTGAAGATGACCGATACATCAACCCTCGCCCAGGAACATTTCAAATTCAAGGTAAGATCCCCACAGTTAGACAACACATTGTATGTTAACAGATTTGACAAGTGTGGAGGTTTGAAGGCCGACGTTGCCACCGGAAGCACTCAATTCATTTCAATTTGACAGTGGATTCAAGGCAACATGTTATTCTTCCACATCAGAGTATTGCTTTCTTTTTCTTTTACTAATGCATGCAAGCAATTCTGAAAACACAACAAAGTAATGTGCAACAAATATCAAATTAAAGGGTTAAGGTGCACATTATTTTGTGTTTTGATGAACAATACATTACTTATAACCAGTGGTGGTTTCTAAGTATTGTACTTGAGTACAATTTTGAGGTACCTGAGTAATTTAATTTTATATTTTTCTTCACCACATTTTGTGAGACAATATTGTATTTTTCACTCCACTACATTCATTTCACAGCTTTAGTTAGTTTACACATTCAGATTATTAGCTGACTCAAAATATAAATCAACTAATAAATAAACATATTTTTCATATATTGTTAGCTTCACGTTTACCAGCTGTTACAGTATGAACACATTAATGCATCAATAATAATAATCAAATAATTTATTATACATATGATTTTGAAAAGGGCCACCACTCATAACAAAGTACAATACTTTGAATACAGGACTTTTACTTATAAGTGTGTATTTATACAATTTAGTATTGCTACTTTTACTTAAGTAAAACATCTGATTTCACCACTGTTAATATATATATATTTCCTTTATTAAACCAGGTCAAAGTCTGATTGAGATTAAAATCTCTTTTTCAAGAGTGACCTGCATGATAACCATGTTTCCAGGTAACCTTGACAAACTCCACAAACTCTTCTTTTGCTACAATTTCCTGAAAAAACCTTCAAAATCATGAAGCCTCGCAGCTGCATGCAGGGAATAAATAACACATGAATAAATCCCACAATCAATAACACACTATTTATAGTGAGGAGACATCAGTGATACTGGATCAATAGCCCAAACACAAAGACATTGTTTGCGGATGAAAATAAGAGTGTCACGCTCAATGAAACATCAAAACAATGGCGATGTTTCTGTAATTCAGGTCATATTTGGATGCAGGTAAAATACAGCCGGTTAATGCATTATGCAGGCAATCAGCAGGCTATTTGCTAGCACCCTGTGAATGTTTTTTTGAAGATACAAGAAGCTCTTAAACCATAGAGTTAGTGTATTATTTACGCCTTCACAAGAGGTAGAAGCAAGACGTGCCTCAGGGGCTGGAACACACACACAGACGTTGGTCTTCAATCCATCACATTCCTGTAGGAAAACGTGGAAGCTGCGAGGAACTCGGCGGGAAGCAGAGGAGCTGAGGGAGTGGGCTGGAGAGCAGGAAATTGGGGAGATCATAGAGAGAGGATGAGAGGAAGTGTTGGATTTGAGCTAATGAAGATTAACAGCCAGCTGAGGCCCATGCTCTGCCAGGATGGAATGGCCTTTTTAGGAAGGTTCCTCATGGAGTAAAATGACCCAGGAAGTACTTACGTTCCAGTTCTCTTGGGCCTAATACAGACTTTACAATCAAATGAACACGTCAACCATTTTTCTACACTAGACATGGGTATATACAGTATGATCCTACATAAAAGAATGAAAGTCGTTTACATCTGTAGGACAATATTAAATGTCTGTCTCATTTTGTACATGGTCAGGTAGGACAGCTGGTAAATCAGGACCGATGCAGACTTCCTGTTTGAGGGTTTTATAACTCCCTCACACTAGTTAGTTTGAAAGGGCACTTTATGTGGCGACTATCCAAGCAGACACTCAAATGGAGAGGAAGTGGGAACGTAGAGGGTTTAGGACCCGGTTTAGACAACACATTTCACAGGTTTAGTTTTGTGGTGTTTCTTAAAGGTCACCTATCATGCTATTTTTAGGCAATAGCATAGGTCTCAGATATATAGAAATATATAAAAAACATGTCTATGAAGTGTTTTGCTCAAAATACCAAACAGATCACCCATTCTAGCCATGCCTCATATCCCTCCATTTCACTTCCTGTTTCAAAAGTGCTGATTTGGGGTATAAAGCTTTAAAAATATATATATTTGATTAAAAAAAAAAAAGGAGGGGGCTGAGCTCAAGCGGGAGATTCTACCGCCAGATTCTGCAGTTTCTACGCCATATCATGGATTATCAAGGATTATTTCTGAAACAGTATGGAGCTCAAAGGCTTTCTCTCTTGCCGGTTATACCACAGGGTGAGTTCCTTTTTATTTCCTGCTTCTTCACACACATGCTCTCTCCAGTACAGGTTAGCTCTGAGTGTTAGCGATGCTAATGTAAACACCGACCATATTACGTCCAAAACAGTCGGGCATTGTTTCTGATAGCAACATTTCTGATAGGACCGTGGGTGTAAAGCCAGCCTACATTTCCGATATTACGTCATATCGGACGCAAATCTGGATCAGCTCCGTTGTAGCCCCGTTTTTAGAGATTTGGGTACGGAGGAAAAGAGAGAGGGTTTTATTTTCTGACGCTGCGTGAGTTCCCTGACACACCGGGGACACATATTTATGTATAAAAGACATCAAAAAGTGCATTTTGCATGATAGGTTCCCTTTCAGTTTTTTCCTTAACATGTTCTATTGGTATGCACTGTGCTAGATGTGTAGGCCTTACAAGTAATGCATATTGTGTTAAGTATTATTTATTCAAATAGTTTCATACAATCTATAATGATTGGGATTCATGTCGTTTAATACCAATACTTTTTCTGAGGTCAAATTGCCATATTCTATTATTCAAACAAGAGGCTACAATTAAAGGCATGATATCTTAACATCAGCCTTTCATTTACTTGTTTATTTAAAGCAAATATTTTAAGAATTACGTGTCATTTCGGATCAATAATTCAAGGATATAATAGCCACGTTATGATTCAATCAAGCTACACTATAATAATCATACATTAGCATTAACATGGTTTTAACTTTCATGGAGCAAGTGCAAAATTATTATTGTTATTATTTTCCCCTTCTCTTTGAATTTACTGTGCCACGGAGCAAATGAGACGACTGAGACTGAATATCCAAATAAAGGCTCTCTTTGGTATGCAGGTAATTAAATTATAGTGTTGATCAAAGGAAAGCCTGGGAGAGGGTTTCTTTTTGTCATTTTTCTGCACTCCTTTGAAGAACTGAAGTGACTCATTCCTCATTGTACGACAAAATATTCCCTGAATTGTTATGCGTATGCAATGTTTAAGCTTGGCAGTAGG